ATATATATATATATATATATATATATATATATATATATATATATATATATATATATATTTTGTGAGCTGAGTTACTGAAGCTGCTCGGTCCAGGAGAGGCCAGGGTGGTGTCGACACCCAACAGCAGCTTCATGGGGGTTGGGAGCAGGGAGTGGAAGTGGCTGACAGCCCAGATAAGGTCTATCAGGAGAGGCAGCATCGTGTTGGGAAAGCATTGCTCCACTGGTCACACAGGGAGCTGGGATGTCTTCCTACACTGGAAAAAATCCAAATCTAGATAAGTCAGTGCATTTGTTCTTGGATTGAGGAGGTAAAAGAGACATTTTGCCAATGGAGCAAGACAATTTATGCTTAAAATAAGAAAACACAATTGCATTGTCTTAATTCAAGTGCATTTTATCTAGTTATCTTATTTTCTGAGTGGAAATACTCATTCCATTGGCAAACTATTTCATTTACCTACTCAAATTAAGGCTAAATACACTTAATTTAAGAATTTTTTTTTACTTATTTCTAGATCGTTTTTGCAGTGTAAAGGCTAAATCTATGGAGGACAGGCAACACATGAAGACCAGTATTATTTTATCACATTGGTTCTGAGCCACAAACATTAGATTTATAATGCGTTACATAGATATATATAGTCTTAAAAGTTTCCATATTTTGTCAGAGTCTCATAACTACCATTTTTTTTAAATGGTAATATTTATGTGGAAAACCAACAGAAAGTTATTTAAAAGTTCTGTAAATGTGGAAAGTGTTGCATATATTGGAACCAGTTTTAAATGTGGTTCAAGCAGCAGGTGGATGTTTAGGAGGATCACTTCCTCTTTTTCATACTGTTTGTTCACCAACGTTCTCTATCCCATTCTTTACAGAAAAGAAGAATTTATACAAAGATAACATTAAATGTAAGAGACCTCTGAATTTGAATTTATTCAGAGATGTCAGTCTTTGACATAAAGCTCCAGAAAAGTTGGCCACATTGATAAAGTCTTGTTAGAGTTCAGCGAGGGGGTTTAACAGTAAAAAGGAGTTGAACAGAAAACAACACGTCCCACACTTTTTTCAAGTCTTTTTTTAAAGATATAAGTAAAATCAAATTATCCTTTCACTTCTACTTCACAATGACTCACTATTGTGGGCTATTCTAATTAAATACATAAAAGATTTAAATTATATGCGCCTAATTGTAAAGAAAAGGATCAAAACCTGTACCATATATTTTATAAAGATCAAACTATGATATTCACTTTATATTTTTTTTAAGATAAACCTGTTTTTTAACTGTCACTTTGACACTGGAAAAAAGCTAATTAGCTTTTATCAGGACATTTTGAGTTTAGCTGTTCCTTTTAATTATTTAATTGTTTTGTTTTTTTTTATTTCATCAAATAAACCCTTTTAGGTTAAATAAACTACTATAATACATCTTTCTGTCCACCTCATAAAAACAAAACAAAAAAGTTTTCCTATTGTTAGCTTTAGCGGATGCTACCAGCTAACTCAAGTTAGCCTTAGCATTCTGCTAATAGAAAATTTTAGTCTTTTTTTTATTTTTTGCAATAGAAATATTAAACAATAAGTACTTTAGTTTTTTTTATGACAGTTTTTTTTTTTTTTTTTTACAATCACTAGATAAGTTGATCTATTCATCCCGTATTTTCTTAGCATTTAGCACAGACCTACATCAAAGTATTTACACTTAAACTATTTAAGTCTAGATATTTTTATTTGGCCTTTTTATTACAACTATATGCCTTTAATATATAACAGTGTAGTAATCTTTTATTCTGATGGCTTTAACATTACAACAGGTTATTAAAACATAAAAAGGAATTTAACCATAACCCTGCAGTCATGGATTTAGTTTCCTTAAAACTCAAATAACCTACAGATGTTACCATGTTTTTATGCTTTATATTTTAAGAAAAGTCTTTCATATGATTGGTAGATAAAGAGATATGAAAGATTTGGCAGGAGAATATATATAAAAAACTTATAAAGACACAGAGATTCTGCAGCAATATTTAACACTACTAAAAATGTTCTATGGTAACCATTATAGATATTCAAAACTAGAAAAAGACCTAAATAAATGCATTGCCCTATAAAACTATTCAGGGATATTTAATTTAAGTTGATAAGCTGAAAATTAGTTCTCTCTATAAACTACTTACTGTTGCAGTTTAATACGTAATAAAAATCCAGGTCTTTCAAAAAGGTTTTCATTTTTTAGGAGTTAATAACATGTTTTAATGAAAACTGGAAAAAAAACATTACTCCTAAAATAAACGTTGGGCCGCTAATGTAGAAGTTGTTTCTTGCTTTGTTTACGTCAATAGACTTTAGAGAAAATCCTGATTAAATTCAACAACTATTTTTTAAGCAAAGGTGCTTCATGGAGAACAGGAAACTGATATTAGATGGTCAGGCAGCTGCTTAACACATGTGCTGCTCGGTTTGCCTAATGTAGGTTTGAAAAGGTTACAGACGATGTTCCTTAAAAGAAAATTATGCAAGAAGAACAAAGAAAAGTAAAAAAAAATAATTTCTATTCATGCTTAGCAATAAAACATGTTCATAACATAATTATAGAATTATTTCTATTTGGATTTTCACACAACATGGAATATAAATCTGCAGCATTAAGTGAAGCTTTTGAAAAACATTTTCTGCTTTTCAGCAAGAAATAAAAGTATCAGAAGGTGCAATCAAATGGTTATTAGGTCAGTCATTGCTAAATTCATCCTAGCAGCTGGCTGCTTAAAAGAGACTCTGCTTGAAAGCTGTAGTTTTAAACCAGCAGCTCCTGTTTCTACACTCTTTAATGCAACCAGAAGTATTTCCAAAGAGCCAAAGACTTTCCTGCAAGAGAGGTGGAAACCTTTTTTGTTCAGCCAGCTGACTGGCAGTGACGTCCAAATGGGATAGAACTTAATAAAATAACTTTAAACAAAAGGAACAACCTTTTTTGTTTAAAGTTTGGTTTATATTTATAGGGGCATCCATCTGATACTTACCCAGATTATATCCCTACCTGGTAGGGTACGGGCTGCATGACTCAAACACCCACTTCCAGGTTAAAGAACGAGCAGTACTGGGGGGGGAATTGAAACCTGTGGTGTTTCGCTGCAGACAACCAGAACGTTAATCTATATGATAAGCAGCACACTATGTTTGAAGATTGCTTCATCGGCAAAAGGACCTAAACATTTGGACTAACCAGATGAATTTAATGTATTCTTCCAGGTAAAGGAAGATATTCAATCTAAATGACTTTTAAAATAACAAACAGCTTCAGAACAAAGACAATAAAGGGAGTGAAGGAGGGTTAGATTATCATCTCACAGGAAATGCTCCACCAACACCAACTGCACCATAGTCTGACTGCTGCAACCCCCCTTCCCCCAATAAAGAATAGCTAATATTCATTACATGCAGCACAGAGCATTAAATCTTAAACCTTTTAAATGTTGACCTAAATTGGTTAAAGTGTCCCGTCCACCTGTGAGAACAAAGCTGTGTTGCAATCGCCTTTTTTCGAAACATGTCAGAATGTTCTGGTGGGACCCGAGCAACCAGCCTGAGGTGACTTAAGAACCAATTAAAGCATGCTCATCGTTAGATTTAAGATTTTTCTTTTTTGTAATAAAATGTAAAGTGTTTTTTTTTTTTTTTTCTAAAAGGGGGGGGAAAGAGCGGTGTCTGCAGAGAGGCAAAGAGAGGGCCGGAAGAGCAGCCTGTGACTGTTAAACCTCTTCCTGTGGGTGGCGTCACGTGGCTGAGGAGGCTTCAAAAGGAGGGAGCTTCTTCTTCTTCTTCACTCACTTCTTGGACGGACAGAAGACACCTGCAAGGCCGGTGGGGGGGGGGTCGTCGCTTTGACTAGGCAATCGATAGAAAAAGGGTAAAGTATGAGGGGAAGATGACGCCTTTTATTAATCAATTCAATCAAGATTATTTCTATCGAGGTGATTTTTTTTTTTTGCTTTGTTACTTCTCGAAACCTTTTGTATATATTTTTTGTCTTTTGCTGTTTATTTTTAAAGCTTATTTACTGTTTATGTTAAGCATTTCAAACCAAAAATGTTTTCTTTAATGAATTTGTAAATGTATCGTCATGGTATCTGTAGATAGCTAAATTTGAAAGTGATATCTTGTAACCCTGCTTCGACTAACTTCTGAGCGAACCACGAAGCAGACAGAAAAGCTTACTCATGTCTTAAAATGGCTTCCTTGAGATAGCGCTTCCGCTGTTAGTCGGTTTTAAAACTGCTCTAAAGCTTAAAAAAAAAAAGAAATGGAAGGGTGGGGTCTTCAGGCTGATTTTGGCCATTTTCTTTGTCTTCTCTGGGGTTTGACATGTTAGCGAATCATTGATTTGCTTTCGAAGTAGGCCATGCATACCGATGTTTTATGACAAACCAGGAAGTGAACGTGTTCTGGTTTTGCATAGAAGCAGTTGAGACGTGAGGTTTTTCGGGCTGACAGACATCAGAGGATGGGGGTTGGTGCAGCTGCAGGAACCCAAACAGGTGCAGAAGAAGAGAGAAGACCGCAGAGGAACGCTGGATGTACAGTGCAGTCATCCATAAAGTAGAAAGCACTACTAAACTCCTCGCCACAGTGTAGTGTTTCCTACTTTATGGATGAGTGTACTGTTTGCTTCAGGGAGCCGAGCGGAGCCCGGCAGGGCGTCCATCGCAGGAAGTCGGAGAGAGAAAAGAGGAAGCTGCTTTGTCTCGCGGGGCCACACGTTACCCAGAGTGTTGCAACAGTCGGTTCACATGGGCAGAGTGTGGCGCCGAGCAGAGCCGGCTCCTCTTTCTCCACTTTACCATCACCTGCTGGGAAATACGTGCACAGCAAAGCTTTCATGATCATCTGTATGCTGTGAAATAATAAAGATGCATTAGAAAACAATCCTTTTATCTTCTGTTTTTTCTTTTTTTTTCAAGTAAGACCAGTTTCACCTTTTTTCTGTGAAAATATACATATTTTATTTCAGTAAAAAAAAAAAAAATATTGAAAGAATTCACCACATTTTCAAGTCAAGAATATCTGTCTGAACTACAGTCCTCCAACAACAACGCGGCTCGGACATGCAAAAAAACAGCAAAATAAAATATTGTCAAAATATATACAGATGAGCTTTCAGAAAGGGCAATAAAAGAATAATCATATATAAAAAGGTTCATCAGTATTTTTTTTTAACAATGAATGTAGATGAGGAAAGACAGAAAGATTTTCTGTGAAAATATAACCGTATATACACACAGCTTCTCTCCCGCTGCAGCTTCGATCCTGCCTAGCCAGCTGAGATGTGACAGCAACGTAAATAAGGCGAACATGGGTAGAACATGCATGCAAACGTCCTGTAAACAACATATTAAGACTAAACAAGGTCTTCTTGTAAGGCTAGATATGATCATCTGAGCTAAAACTATCTACATGGGTCTAAGTCCGAGCCACTGAGCGGAGGAGCCCCTCGTGTTGCTACGCAGCAGATAAGAGGTCTAGACTGGTACATTAAAGGCCGTCGAATACATTACAACCATCTGCTGAACATTTCGCCAACTTTGGAGCATCCACCCTTTGTTAAAACACAAAGTAGAGAAAAAAAGAAACACAAGAAAAGAAAGCTTACAGTACTGCCTCTGGCTTGCATCTATCCCGCCGACTCCTCATCTAAAGTGTCTTTGACAAACCGTCCCCTTGTTTCATTCTTGGCATTTTCGTGCTCCCTTTATAAATTAACTGAAATATTGCAAAAAAAAAATAATTAAGGAACCCTAACCCATCCCGGTGAAATCCCTCCCACTTCCCATCGCTGCTGGGAATATTAGGTCTCTCATAACTGTGGTAAAAAGCAAAGCACCTAACATTTTGGCATATTCTGCAGCTTGGTGATGACTAGATCTAACATGTGCCTAAAAACACTACAGATGAAAACCTGAGGAGCTGCCTGAGGGCAGCACAGACGGAGACAGGGAAACTGGTGAAAGAGGGCCCGCTCCACACGTCTGCAACCAAACCGAACGCCTACTGCAGCTCCGCTTTAATCAATAAGCAACGTTATAAACAACAAAGCTTGGTCCTAATCCTCTAACAGAGCGTTATGTAGAACTAAAGTCAAAGCTAGGCAGCATTTCTAAACACTTCACTATGGTTCTGGTGAAAATGAGTTGACAGAAATCCTAACTACGCTGCATATGCTAATAGTGAACATTTATGTTGTAACACAGAGTTCACTTTACTCCTAATATGGAGGTGAAAGAGAAGACATAGGGGAGAGTATCATTCAGTGCAGACGCTCTGCTCGAACGCAGGAAGTGATGCTCCTGTGAAATGCTACATTCAAACCATCAAACCAGAGTCAAGCCACAGCGCCCGGCAAACTGCTCTCTGTCGCTCTAATCAGGTTCTTTCCTTTGGTTTCCGGAAGAACCAACCTGAATCAAATCAATGAACGGGCCTGTAGTTTCTAAGCTGATGAGTGGGCGAGCATCTGTGAGCAGATTAAAGGTGGGAGGCATGAGAAAAGCTCGGGTTTGTGTTAGTAAAGAGGGGTGAGGAGGGCTCAGTCTGCTTAAAATTAACAAGAAGTTTGTTCATGTGTCTGTAGGATGAGTTAGCTGTTAGCCTATTATGAGCTAAATCGACCCCTTCCTGGTCCATATGGGGAATGCTGGCGGCTATAGAGCTAACTGGGTTCAAAGCAATGACCAAATCCGTCATTATATTGGGAAAATGACAGAAAAATGGCGCAAAATAAACCTTCCACACCCTTAAAGTGTGTTAAGATAAGTGACTGTGGAGGATTTATGAGGGACCAAACATTTGTCTCTTTTTAGCTAAAAGTTAGATTTTTTTCACGTTCTTAGTGTGAAGAAAGCGTCGCTACAACAAAATCTAAATGTATTTAAAGACTTTCACATCTGTGCCTGTAATTAACTCACACAGACCGCTAGTGGATTTTATTTGCCTCGCTTCGACTCCAAAACACAGTGGTTCGAGGTTTAAAAACACCGATCAGGACCAACGGTTCCAAGCTAACCAGCTAACATCTGATGCTACTTCATACATACACATATAAATATGACTTAGTATGAAAAAACACCTGGCGATATAACATAAAGACATCCCTACAGGATGGATAGTGCATTTTTTAACAGCCAGACAGAAGGAGAAAGAAAGAAGTGCTGTTTCTGTCTGATGGCTGTAGATGAATAAATAAGGTGGCACACGCATATGAGCGTTAAAGCTAACGTTGACTCGGCCGTGTGAGTCTGGGTAACGTCCGGCCTCCTAATCAACACTGCTCAGCATTAAATAAGTAAATAGTTCTTGCATTTCCTTTAATTATTGCCATGTTTTTAACTCTGACGACGCAGAGGAAATTTAGAGTAACATCAGCGAGTTTGCGTGGTTCCACATGCGGTGATGCATGCTGCGTGTCTAAGTCCAAGTTTACAGCTGGTCTAAGGCAAATGTTTAGTTCCTGATGTTTAAAGCATCAGCTCACTGCAAACAGTATCAGTTACCAAATGAGACCAACGGTACAGACAGAAAAAGTGCTTAAAACGTGATGTGAGTGTCCAGGGTCTTATTCTTTCTTGCTGGATCCCAGTTTTTTTAACAGTTTCTTGCCTTTGGAGAAAAAGCTCTTCTTCTTCTTGGGCTGAACAGTGGACTCTGAGGATGCCGTGCTGTCCGAAGGAGAGCAGCAGACCTGTCCTGCGGCTGGATCTGGAGCAGTGTCCAGGACAGGGGCTGGACAAGCGGTGGCTTCTAGCTGGGGTAGACGGCCTGTTTGTTGGGTCATGTCTGGACTAAAGGGGTCAGCTGGGGGGCGTGAAGCCTCTTCTGCTGCTGTGGGATCCAAGTCTTGTTCTGAAGAGGATGTGCAACTATTCTACAAGAGGTAAAGCCAAGCTTTAGTATAGATTTATATTATAAAGAATGAGTATTTACAAAAAGGGGAAGCTTTTATTTATGTGTGTTTGAATAAGCAAGGCTAACATGTGCTGGAGGAGGGAAGGCGGAACTATAAAGGAGGTTCTTAACAGCACAGGAGTGGGATTCAATGGTTCTGTTAGTCCAAAACACTTACGATCAAGTCTCAAAGTGTACAGATCGTTTTTGCTTCTGCATGCAGGAAAAATGTCGACCAAAGAGATGCAACAGGCAGAGTTAGAGAAAACAGGAACAAACAGCCATCATGCAATGTGAGAATGCAGAATCTGAAGAACTTGTGGATTCTAGCAACCCAAAGAATGGCAACACAAATCAGGTGGTTACCAACATGTGAGCTGTCGATGGACAGACGGACTGAGTTACCTGGGATTCTTTCCTGAGTTCTGGGGCCGGGTTCTGGACACTGGCTGGTTCTGGTTCATCAGGGAAGGCTTGTAGGAAGTTGGAGGGAACCAAGCCTCTGTGTCCGTTCAGCTCTCCCTGAAAGAGGAATGAGAAATATTCTCTAGAAAGGCTGGATCTGAAACTCTATATGGTTCATTTCTTTATTATCACACAAGGAACTCAGGCTCTTCGGTAGCAGCAGCATCTCAGCCTCTGTCTCATGGCCTCATGTTTGTCAACTGCTTGTTTTGAATTCTATAGATGCTTTACACACAGATGTAACTCCATATGTTCTCATCCTCTGCAGTGCCTTTCAAAAGTATTCACACCCCTCAAACCTTTTAATCTTCTTGCAGCTAAAATCGGCTTTAATGACAGAGCGTCTGAACGTAGTGCAAAAAGGTGAGATAGGAGGAAAGGTGAACAGTTTCCATGCTGATGAAAAGTAGGGCTGACACAATTAATCGGATTAATCGTGATTAAGTGATCATTGAAAAAAATTGTCAACTAATTTAGCAATCGATTAATCGTTAACTGGAGTATAGAGACTATAAAATATGCCTTTAGTTGACAGAGCGACACACTTAGAGCAGTGATTATATCATAATTGTGAAAAAAATATTTAACATTTTGCATTTAAGATAAAAAAAATTTTTTTGTCTGTCAATATGCTTTATCCAGAACTCTTCAAGTGGGAAATTTTAATTTGACCTGGTTCAATTTTGTAAAAACTCTCCTTTAAAGAACCTTTTATTATCTAATTATTAATTGATTAATCAAGAAAAATAACTGACAGATTAATCGATTTGCAAAATATATGTTAGCTCTAATGAAAAGCATTTCCACCACATGAAGATGCTTTAACCACTCTGCTCTACACTAGTAGGTATATATATACATATATATATATATATATATATATATATATATATATATATATATATATATATATATATATATATTTTTTTTTTTTTTTTTTTTTTTTTTTCTTTTAAAGATGATTTAGTCTTATTTTTCTGTCACTTAGCATTTTGAACCAAAAGGTTTTATATAAATCTTATTTGACTAGGTAATTTGCTCAAGTTGTTTGCTGGTTTCCAAGATGGATACTTTGTGTTTCTTTCCCTTCGTCTTATCAAGGCCACCTGAGCTAGTGTTCTCTGCAGCTCCTCCAGTGTCCCCCAGGGGTACATGTTGGTTTGTAGTTGCACTTCCCTCATTGTTTTTAGGCCTTGGATTAGAATCTAATCCTTTTAACTTTCTACAAGTCTTTCTACATGACTTGTCTGCTGACTTCTGGTCTTTATGATGCTGTTTTCCTCCAATTATTTCACACCATAGAAATGAGCAGATTTAATTTCTTCTCCAGTAAAGTCTATTTACCTATCAGATGACTTTTAAAGCCAATTAATTTAATTTGGTTTTAATTCACTTTTCTGAATAAATAAGCCACAAAGGATTCTTTTTAATTATAATTTTGCAATGCTTTGGTTTTGCCTGACACATAAAATCCTAATCCCACAGCCTTCAGCCTGAACTATTAGATAAAATAAACAAACAAAAGTCGACAATGTTTATTTCTCAGGTAGAAACAATTAACTAAAGAAATGTACATGCAATAAAGTAATAAGCATCTTATTCAAAGAGGCCTTTTAGATCCTTAGGGCATTTTAAAACTTGTAATTTATGATTAAATATAAGATGTTTTAAGATGCTGCTACGCTGAGGGTTTGAACTATTAGGGATTGTTTTGCACAAATGCAGGCCAATCATTGTAGATGTTGTATAACTTCCTTCCTTTTGCATTTTCTAGAAATATTTAGAAAGTTGTAGAAGATCTAAGGTTGAAGGATTGACAAACTTCCTCAATCTCAAACTCACGTAGAAGAAACCATCTTCGTCCATGTCCCCAAGGACGTGAATGATGTCTCCTGCGCTGAAAGTCAGCTCCGCCTGAACAGAGTTAAATCAGAAAAGAATATTTGATACATATAGCAGATAGAGCAAGTAAAAAGCTAAAATAAAAGGTCAGGTGTGGGGTCAGACCTCTATATCAGTGTTGGGGGAGCTCTCTCTGGGATCATAGTCAAAAATGGCAATCATCCTTCGAGCCCCTGAGGCCTGCTTCCCTGCAGCGGCGGCACTTTGGCTGGGATCTGTGAAGCAAACAGCTAAATCAGAGCTGCTCTCAATGAGAGGGGGCTTAAACAGCCTGTAGAGCTATAAAACATGCAGATGTTTCTTCATGCTGGGCTCTCACAGTCAAAATTCACCCCACTGCACAAGTTAGAACAAGAAGAAAGCAGGGATTAGTAGTTAGTGATGTGTGCCTGCTTTGGGCCAGTGCCTGTCTCCGGTCATCAGGGGAGAGGCGGGGTTCGCCCAGCACAGAATAAAACCATGCACGCTACTGTGGGAGGGGCACCAGGGGAACCATGCATGAGGGAGACATGCAAACTACATGCAGAAAAACCTTCTTGCCTAATTAGTGTTCAACAACTAAACATTTTCAAACATGGTTCACATGCTCAGAACATCGTGTTTAAGGATCCCATAATGAAAAAGCTGTTGCGTCATGCTGGCCGTTTAAGGGCTGAAAACAAACCTCGACTGGAGGAGTCTATGCTCTCCTCCCAGAGCGCTGCAGACTCCACTGGACAAGAGAAAAGAAAACATGAGGTGAAGGGAGGGACAGCGGGAACTCTGTAGAATGAATCCAGAGCTTGAATGAGGACAGTTCTGTCTGCAGAAAGGCCAGCTTCACACTAACAGCTTGGTTGGTCACTTTGGACTATTAGGGCATATCTCTATAAAATCCTAGGATGGTGCGATTTGAAAAGATGCTACGGTGAATAATAAAAATGTTGACGTCTACCGAGCACAAACTAAGCAAAAAACATGCAGTGCCTTTAAAAGTACTCATATCACTGGATGTTTTCCCACATTTATTTGTATTAGATCCTACGGAGCCCCTCTGATGACATGGTCAAAAATTTTTTTTTTATTGTGGCCACGAAGTAGTATTTCGTGCGCACAAAGTAGTATTTCGTGGCCACGCTATAAGTATAACGTGCGCACGAAATACTTATTAATAATATTAACATCATTCCTGGACAACTGGGTAAGCAAATCGAGCGCGCCTTCTCTAAGGTCTAAGGCGCGCTCGATTTGCTTACCCAGTCGGTCTCCGCCAGTCACGTGACATTTGTTGCCAAGACGCTATTTTAGCTGGAAAAGGCGTAGTGTAAACAACCGCAGCATAGCTAAACGAAGGACTAAAGGCCCGTTTACATAGCAGCCTGTCCAAGATAAGCAATTACAGTTAACATAAGCCTGAAAACAGGGGCGGATTTATGGATATTATTAATAAGTATTTTGTGCGCACGTTAAACTTATTGCGTGGCCACGAAGTAGTATTTAGTGCGCACGTTATACTTATTGCGTGGCCGCGAAATACTACTTCGTGGCCACAATTAAACTTTTTTTTTGAGCATGTCATAAGAGGGGCTCCGTAAGATCCTCTCATATCCAGTTTTATATAACTGCCTGGCTGTTAAGTGGAGCAAAAAAAGTAAATGTAGTTTTTTAAATTCTTGTACAAGAAGGAAGCAGAGTTCAGAATTAAAATTAAAAAGGGGCATAGTCATGTTAGACATTTTTAAATGTATACACCTGTAGCTCACTTCCGTTACATACAAAAGTCTTTCTTTTGTAGGTTTTTTGTTGTACCCTTTTTTTTCAACTTATCAATGAATGAAACCCTTCTGTGTATATTTACAAGAACAGAGAGGTATGATACTGCGCTTGTGTTCAATGGGTAAAGAAGAAAGCGATGGGCTAAGCTATTAGCATCTCCCACCATAGTGTGAAAATAAAGAAAAGTCAAAGATCTAGTGTGAAAAAGTGGAATTTTTTTTGATTTTGAGTAGGATAAGAGTCCATTAGCCGTGGAAATACAGTATGAATGATGGTGTTTACTGAAGCAGGGAGCTAACGCTGCAGAGGTGATAGATGTTTGAGAAAAGGTCCTTATTAATACTAGTGATAGCAATGCTATTCTTTGTCACTACAGTGAAAGAAAAGAAAAATATTATTAATAGATTAGTTGATTGATTGTTATTTTTTTTATAAAAACAGAAAGAAAGGGGTGAAGACTAAAATCAGATTATTACCAAGAAAACAGCATTTTAATTCGTTTAATTTCTATTCATTCAAATTAATTGATGATATATCCCTGTTTGTGTTTGTTAGGAAGCGGAATTTACTTTTTCCCTTCATGTTTGAGCTGTTGCTTTACTGCGAGGCACTGCAGGACGGTCAGAATCTACAGTGCTGCTGCATCAAAAGGGTGTTTTAAGTCACGCCATTTTAGATGGAGGGCAGGAAGTAAACTGTCAATGGAGACAACAGCAGCCCAGATCCAGTATCGTAGGGATTTAGATTCTGTTTTAAAGCTACAAGGAAATACCAAATATGTTGGATGTGACCTCTACCTTATAGAAATTAGCCATAGAATGACAAACTATCAGGTCCTTCATCCTTCTACCCCAATCAGCAGGTGAAAGCCTATAAGTTCTGTCCAGAACCTCTGCACCATATGAGCCGAGATTATTATCGTTTGGTTTTCATCAAGCTGAGCGATGGTTCATATGTGAGATGGGAGTCAACCGTTAAAGCCCAGTCTACTGACTTAGCGGGACCCAAATAGCCTTAAAAGTCTATATTAGTCCACATTAGACTTACTAACTAATTACCATATTGGCTTGAATATAAGATAAGACAAACGATGTGAAAATGTGGGGTTGTCTTATAATTGGGGTCTAACCAATTATACAGGCTCACATTTGTCTGGTGTGGCTACAGCAGAGGTGGCCAGGTTTTTGTAAAGCCAGTGACTTTGCTGTGGCTGGGGTCATCTTTCTATCTCAACAGAGATAAAGTGACAAGGATGCAGCAGATGGAGAGTTGCTGCCCAGAACGGAGTGGATCAAAAGTCAGACAAGTTTGCAAACATTTGAGGCAGAGTTTGGAGGCCATTTTAAAAACAATGCTGGTCAACACAGCGGAGTCATCAAATAAACGTTAGGCAATAATGAAACAGGGAGTTACAGTGCAATGTCAGAAGATGGCACGTGGACAGCATAAGAAAAGCTTATTGTGGTCCACAAAGTGGAGGATACAGGACTGCAGGGTGAGAGTGGGAGTGACAGCGAGCGCCGCGCGTCTGTGAGTAAAAGCTTTTTGAGACGTTCCACGAGCAAAGTTCAGATTGCATTCCAGATGAAGTTTTCCAAGATTACAATTAAATGTGTAATTACTTTTCTTTACTGTTTATTGTTATTTAATTGTTCAAATATTTCCATGCAATATTATTTCAATGAATTTCTTATACTTCAATATAAAGTTGTCTTTTAAAGTCATAAGGAAACAGCTGTTCCAAACGTTGCATTTCGGAATCCTCCCAAGTGGTGCTCGACTTTACACGAGTGAATAAAGTGAATGTGATTGGTCGATTATCAAGGGGGCGGGATTGTTGTGGCGGAAGGTTCGCAAGCAAGTTTGTCGGAAGCATCTCGCTAACCAGTTAGCAACTTAGTGCTAGTAGGTTCCCAAAGAGAAATGACATTGGGACCAAGTAGCACTTAGCAACAACACTGTCTAGGAATGCTATGGACAGCAGAAAGCACAAGAAGAGGAGAGTTTTGTGTCGGAGGTCGTGGATGAGTCTCCTCCATCATACATTTTTTATTTAGAGGAGGAAAGTTGGGACGAAGATGTTGTGGAAGAGGACGCCAGGGCGGCAGAAGCTTGGTTTGGTGTAGAAGGCTTCCAGCCGTACATGTTTGAGCCGTTTCCTCGCAACGCTGCCAGTTCTGTTAGCTCTACGCCTGCTGTTGCTATGCTCTGACCGAATAAATTTGATTGACAGATGACTGTTGATTACAATTGGCCGAATTTAGGTGTTCAGGCTGACTTATGACTAACTGGCCTGCATAAAATAACGGAAAAAAACAACACAGATTTTAAGACAAGATTTAAAAAAAAAAAAATTTTTTTCTAACTTTTGGGACAATATCAGCCGATAAAGAGAACATTTATAGACATGTTTAAGCCAGAATGAGTTGACATTTAAATATGACTTCCCTACAACTTTAAACAAAATGAATTCAGTTTAGGAGTCTTTTTTCCTTTTTGTTTTGTTCCTAAAAAAAATAAAACACAATGTTTTTTTATTTTAATTTAAGGTTGTCTAACATTTAAAGAGTCTAACAGACAGATTCTCACACCTAAACTGAGAGGATCTCTTAGCTACACTAATTTATATTGGCTTGTTACATAAAAATCCAAAAAACACACATAGGTTTTCCAAAGTGTGTATATTTATGTTTCTATTCAGCTGCACGGGATGTAGTCTGTGTGAAGCTGGCCTTAAGAGATGAGAGCGGGAGTGAACATTAATTGATGGATGCAGATCTGAGAGCATGAATGTTTGAATTGGTGATCAATGAAGTTGCTTTACAGCAAATGGGATGCAACTTTGAAATAAACTACACATTAAAGCTACAGTGTGTAATAATTACAGGCATATAAAGTCAGAAATTTAATATATTATACATAACTATGTTATTTATCATCACCTATGAGCTCAGCCTTTTAACCATAATATTTGCGTTGCCTTAGAATTCGTTATTTATAATTACATAGGAGCGGGTCTCGCAGCCATGGGGGCTGACATCTTTGCGCTACGGCAAGCGCAGAGGCAACAAACTAGCGATTGCGAGATCTCCCATGACGCTCAAAAATAACTACGGCAAGTTGAGAGAGATTAACTGAGACGGTACTGAACAGTAGATGGCAGTATTATGCCTGAGAAGCGTTTAGTCTGCCTGAAACCAAAGAAGAAGAAGAAGCAGGTATACTGCGCCTCAGTAACAAGAAAGGTGAACAAGGCGGCAGGCGTGAGTGACTTTGCAAACTGTTTGGCACTGTGTGGCCAAACATCAGACGAATGGAGGATCATGCCTACTCTGTATCACAACGAAAAGCGGCGGACACCGAACCCCCGTCATCTAAGAAGCGGAAACACGACGAGAATAAACGCAAGCGTGACAAGAAACGGCAAAAAACACGGATCAACATTGGCACGGCATTTACACGATGGAAGTCACTGATGGAGGAAAAAGGTTTTCAAAGTGACGCTCAAGTTGCCAGTTTTCTCTTGGACAGGTAATTAATCCTACACACACAATTGTCTAATATCACTGCAGTTTTGGGAGTACAGGATGCTCAGACCTGTCTAAAACAATAACATGCTGCGTGATGATGCTGTTACTCTCCAGTATACTTATTCAGCAACGTCCCTGACGTTTCACAGATAATGATTCAGTAATTTTCTGTAAAATAATTTTCTGGATATATACCTCGGTTACTTCTCTCCGGCTCCTTTGGAGATCTTCAAGCCTTTCCTCCTCTGCTCTCACCCCGCTGGCACCCCTCCCTCGCCTGGCCCTAGCTGCACGGCCTCCCTGCCTTCGCCCTCGTCCTCTCCCTCTCCCTCGCGTTGTAACCCCCGTGCCACCAAAATGACTTGGACTCTGTAAACGGGGGATATATATTCTTCCAGCGAACACAATCTCGCTGTTAAACTAATGACTACAATTACTTCGTCTGTTTATATCACCATGCAAAGCAGCTCACCAAAACGTCACAACGATGTAGAAAAAATAACGGGTATATTTATTATCTTAAGTCTACATGAAATCTATACCCTACACAGACTAATGAAATACTATCTGTAAAATTATCTATGTAAACAAACCTCATCACTTGAGAGGGTAGGTGATGTGGACGTCGTAGAAGAAATTTTGTCCCGTAACGCTCGCCGTACTGTTGGGGGGGAGAAGCGGTGGGGGGGAGATGTTCATGTTGCTGCGGTCTGTAGTCTGACCGCTAGATGTCGCTGAAAATTACACACTGTAGCTTTAAGTCATCCTGCAGCTTTATCTGGTGTTACTGAGTAGATAAATCAGGTCAGACAATGAAAAAGTTTGTGTGACTTAGAGGGACCAATACAGGGTGAAGATTGCTGATTGTATGAATAGTTGGCCTAAATGTTTGGAATCCCTTACAGTGGCTGAATCAGCAACTGGAAGAAATGAGACTAATGCGAGAAAGAAGCAAACCAGAGAGAAGACAGGAGGGATGAGAAGCCACAATCTGCAGCGAGACACACCTTTCTTGGATCGTCTCGGTTTCGGCGGTGGAACAGGGCGGCGTGGAAGCTCTGCGTATGTGCGAGAGCCTTAATGACGTTTAGAAGGCCAGAAACAATAAAAGAAATGGAACCAAAAAAAAAAAAAACAGAGACAGACAGATGTCATTTTTTTAATAAAAACAAGCAGCCCAGACCAAGCTGACGATGAGAAGCCAGCGAAGAGCGACACAGACGGCGACAAACTGGTGAGCAGCAAACAGAAGGGAGAAGAAGTGGAAGTGAAAAGGTTAAAGCATCTGCATGTTCAGCTCTGGGTAGGAAGCAGGAAACAGAAGCAAAGTGTTGGCTTGATCTTGCTGCTTTGCAACCCACCATTCACCACAGACAAACACTCTGACTCATTCTACTTTTAACCCCCCAAATATGGTCATAGCTTCCTTCGGTGCAACACAGAACACGTCAGGTTAGTCTAATCGGATCGCTCTGTCTGAGTCACCAAGCCACAATCTATAGGGAGCTCGGTTTGCTACTTTATCAGTAAAAAACGCTCTTTGAATTTCCTTTTACGCATTTAGTCTAACAATAGACAAGCCAGAATATTCTTCAACACGTTTTCATACACCCTCTCTAGCAACACTTAGGTCTCATCTCTCCAATGTTTTCATGCAAACTTCCAGTAGAGTTTTATAACAGTAGGTCTTGAAACAGGCAGTAAACATATTAAAGGCATAAACTACCTGAGTCCTCCTGGTCATGGCAGACACACAACAGGCTTAAATTGGAGGCAACCGAACTTGTGTCCTCCTGGCTCCGTTGTTTTGTATGGGTTTTATCTGCTTGTCTAACCTCTGAAGAATGAGTTCAAGAACCAACCACTGATCTCTATTTATTCACTGGATTGCTGATTGCCCGAAAAAAGTCAAGCCACCATCCGCCATGCTGGTACTCCCTACTCACATGGAGATGCGCAGTAAAAATGCCTACATGTGTAGCATTTGACTGCAGAAAATAAGCAATTTGCCGGCTGTAGGAATACGTTCCACAGCTAGTTTAGAGTCAGTGGATGTACTAACCAAGAAAATCCTTATATACACTGATGTATCCTATAGTATAGTATGTATCGTAACCTTAGTCTGCTATCTCGGACTCGGAGACATTGACTGAGTTAGCCATTGACATTGTGTCTAATGTTAGAAAATAGAGGAAATACAAAGTAATTCAATGTCAATGTAGTAATTCTTTAATAAGTGGATGACACTCTCGTTTTGTAGTGTTTGCTGTATTTCTCATTTGAAAAAGCTATGTGCTGAAAGATATTGCATGTTATATGGATGGAGAAAAAGAACTCAAAAATTTTTAAAGGCTGATGCACACAGCATAAAAGTATATGGCATCATCCATGCACAGTTTGCAAATAGGAAAATACTATAGCATTAACAGACATGTACTCGTAATTCAGTCTTGATGTAACATTTTTTAAATTATCTGTAAGGAGTAATTACCATAACAATGTAATAAATACATGTACATTACATGTACATCATCAAGTTAGCACGTTTGGCATGTCAGTATTATTATGCTCCATTAACACATTAATCTGTGATGGATATGTATAATATGTTATATTACATGATCTATAAGACTTTATAATGACTATGGAATGTGATGTGCTTATTTGTATTATTATAAGTTAAAGTAATCTACTTATGTTATGAAACAGCAAGTATTTGTCAAAGTGATGAATTTATACACCCATCCATCCATCCATCCCGTCACACTTATCCCAAGCGGGATCGCGAGGGGTGCTGGTGACGACCTCCAGCTGTCTACGGGCGGGAGGCGGGGTACACCCTGGACAGGTCGCCAGTGCTCCGCAGGGCAACACAGAGACAAACAGAACAAACAACCATTCACACAAACTCACACCTAAGGAGAATTTAGAGAAGCCAATTAACCTAACAGTCATATTTTTGGACGGAGGGATGAAGCCGGAGTACCCGGAGAGAATCCACGCATGCTCAGGGAGAAAATGCAAAGTCTTTGCAGAAAGACCCTGGGTGTTGAATTTATCTTTTATTCTAAAAGTCTTAAGTCCCCCTGAAAATGAGAACATCATTGTTGTTCAATGCTGTAGTGCTTGTATCGTTTACATTGCGACGGGTCTAAATATCGAGCACCAATATGGCAGACAGTGGTGTCACTTCAACCCCGTACTACCAACGGGCAATCAGCAATCCAGTGAATAAATAGAGATCAGTGGGACCAACCTGTAAATGCTTGGAAGCTGAAACCACAATCCTTCCCCTCTGTTCAGCGATGGCTTCACTGAAAACAAAAGACTCCAACAACCCAGGAGAAGGACGATTTGCATCCAACTTGGAATGTTCTTAGGAGGGTGAACCTCAAAACATTAGAGCTCAAACTGCAGATCGCTTCAGTACAAGCAACAGAATTAACAAAGACTCCTGGATAGCTGTCAAAATGTTTATGGAGAATCTGAGCGAACATCTGGTTGCCTCCGATTCAAGCCTGTTTTATGGTTGCTAAGATAACACCATTGTCTGCAGATCTCAAGCAGAGCTACCCTCCGTACCATCATCATCCTCAACACTGCTCACTTATGTAATTATAGGCTTTAGCTTTACTGCTTTCACTGTAAATACAGGGAGCTTTAAGTGAGCTTCTGATTTCTGAGGAGCATTTCCAAGTTGACAAAACAAATGCTTATGCTAGCTTTAATGTCAGGTTGTCTCACCTTATGCAGTTATAAAAATGGCTGAAAAAGGCTTCTTGGAAACAGGATATTTATAACTCAGGAAAACAGGAAGTGATCAGTAAAGATGGACTGATTACGTTTTCAATAGATTTACAGGAAGTGTTTTAACTGGGGGGGCTAGACCTATGACTTCCATATTTACTGCTAAATATTGACCTGAACTGTTTCTAAAGCCCCATTTACACTACCCTCTGAAACCGATCCGTGTCGAGTTCGGACCGAGTTTGGATCTGCTAACTATGCCGAGTTTGGTTCCTTACGACCGTTTACACAGTTTACACGTTTAGGACAGTTCCTCACCTTCTAGTGACGATCTGTGGTAATACTGCTCTCTAGTCGGGTTGAAGGAGGGAATCAAGCAAATCAGAATGGTGGCGCCCGTAACTTTCAGGAAGTTATGCTTGGTTATAATTGTGATATTTCGTTGTTTGTGGAGAGTCAGGCGAAGAAAGCAGCGTTTGGTGAATTTATTTAACTGAGTCGGCTTTTGGGAAGCGGATACGACAAACAATAATCTAATCAGGCCTTACAGACGCAGGAAACAACAACAGACGTTGAGGTCCATCACACTGCTAAGCAGATTCATCGCTGGAGTTTGTGTGGCAAGGTAGGGAGGCTAGTATTTTATGAATGTCTTAAATTTCATGATTATGGAGGCTGACTGTAGGAGATGGCTCGGTCTACTCATGCACTCTTTGTTATCTGAGAACTGAGCCAGAACTGAGCTGCGCCAAGCTCTACTGTTGAACTAGCACTAGTTTAGCGATGTTCCGTTGTGTCTGGCACGGTCTGGTTCAGTTTGCGTGCCATTTACACTCAAAAGTTATCTCTGTTACCGTGCTCGGACCTTTCTCGGCACGGTTTCAAGAGGGTAGTGTAAATAGGGCATTAGACGTCTAGTTAAGCTAACACTTTGGTCAAAGGTTAGTGTTGCTTTAAAAACACTGGATTTTAGTGACTAGATGTAGTAGAGCAGCTGGATTATTCTAACATCTTCATAGTGAGGTTCTACTACTGCAGTAAGAGATACAATTATTTCCAAACATTTTTCTACACATCCTAATCCAAGTGACGCCAAAGAGGGATCTTTATGCCCCGTTTTCTTCTTGAATCTGAAATATTTATGGAACCATTTTCACTTACCACTTCAACATGGAAAGCAGGGACTTTATGGAATGTTTTACAGTTAACATCATCATACAACTGGTGTGGAATCAGGTTTTCTGCCCGTTCTCACATACCGATCTTCTCCATGGAGGTAGCTGTGGAAAGGAAGCCTTGCTGCAGTAGCTGCTGCTGGGTCTCCTCATCCTCCACCTGGATCTCAGACACCATGTTACACGGAACGTAGCCCAGGCGGCCACCCGTCTCCCCCCGGTAGAACCCATCCGCGTCTTTATCTCCATAAACCTACATGAAAGAGGGTGAAATAAGCTAATTTGCAATATGCTGGATCAAACTTCATTTAAACAGTTTAAAATAACAAGGATGCATCCTTACTTTGATGATCTGTCCTTCATTAAAGGGCAGCTCCTCCTCCGCAGCATCAGGATTGGGAGACATGGTGACAGGGTCGTATGGAAAAAGGGCCACAAAGAGGCGCACGCCACTGTCTCCTTTCATCTTTGGTGATTCACCTGGAGGAAGTCAGTCACATTAATTAACAATTATTAACCAATGATACAATATGATCCCAAGATTTAAGAAAAAAAAAGAAGATTAATAGAATCAGACCCCCATTTTGATGAACCACAGCTATAATGCTAACTTTCTTGGGTAACTCAAAACAGTGAAATCCTTCATTACATAGAATAGTATTCTTCAATCATTTCTTTCATTTTGCGTCATCGGATGAAGGTGCACAGTTGAAAAGGTTGCACTGCTGCAAAAAACCGACCCTAATTCCCGAAAGATCTTAATAAATTCCAAGCTGCTTCCCTCTGCAGCCTACAGGTTCAAAAGTAGCAAGACTGAACTGAAAACAGGTCCACCTGTTTCTAATAAAGATCTATATAGTGTTTCTAATAAAAAGAGAAACCTGGGTCAACAATTTAAACATTTCAATGCCATGCTATACTGATGTAGTATGAGTAGTATAGCAGTAATATGAGATCTAAGTTTTTTTTCTGTATTCATTTTATATTCCTTATATAGGTTTATTAGTGGTTCCTAGAATTTCTGAAAGTAGAATGGGAGGCAGATCTTTAGTTATCAGGCTCCTCTCCTGTGGAACCATCTACCAGTTTTAGTCCATGAAGCAGACAACCTTTCTATTTTTTAGGCTAGGCTTAAAACGTTCCTTTTTGATAAAGCTTATAGTAAGAGTGGTTCATGTTATCCTGAGCTATCTCTATAGTTATGCTGCTATAGGCTTAGACTGCTGGAGGACATACAGTAGGGACCCCTTTTTCATCATTCTGCGTCATTCTACTCTATTCTCTCATTCTGCAGTATTTGTTGGTTCAATCTCTAACTTTTAATGTTAATATACCTTGATAAACATTGCTGCAGACCCCTGTGATAAACTATTTCTTTTCAAGCCGGAGCCACATAGCTATTTGATCATTATTTTTTCTAACATAGAAAGTATATATAGATCAGTGCCTCTATGCTTCCTTTATGTGTCTGCTTCTCTCTCCTTGAACCCCAGTCGGCCTCAGCAGAAGGCCGCTCACACACAGTCTGGTTCTGCTAGAGGTTTCTTCCTGTTATAAGGGAGTTTTTCCTCACTACTGTCGCTGCATGCATCCTTTGTGTAAGGGATTGCTGTAGAGTCCACAACAAAATGCCAACCAATATCTACGGTTGCCACATGTTCGTTCAGGAGGAGTGAATCATGCCGCTGTGTGTCTTTAGATAGAAAACCTTGAACCAATCCGACTGGATGATCTCATCAGATGGACCAATATGTTTCTCCAGGACTTTTTTACTATTACAATATATACCAAATTGATGTTTTACATTCAATTAGTGCAAAAACACACTCTTTTGATTATGTTCTTTTTTATTTTTATTTTTACAGTGTCCTGTCTGGCAATGTGGCAATAGGAATAATTGTCTTGATGCCAAAAAGAGACCAACAGATTTTGCTTTCACAAGTGGAGCAGTACGGCTATTGCCATAGTGTTCCGCTTGATTAATGCATATAAATAGCTTTATTATAATTCATGCAGGGAGTATCACAGATTTTATGGACATTGCAATGTAAGTAGAACAGGAAAGGAAAAACAGAAAAAAAGAGAAAAGATGAAAGAAAGAGGAGATAAAAGGAGATAATGATGATGTTCTAATCTATTAGGCAGAACCTGGTGAACACATTAGCTGGTTTGCACCGAAACCCTGGAGATATTTTAAGCTCTTTTGCACCTCCCCCCAGCGCTAACCTCAATGCTGCTATGAGCCAAGTTGGCCCAGTGCTTGTCCTCAAAACAGGTAATCAAGCTAAACCACTGATACTAAGCTGTGTGAGCTCTGTGACAAACGTGCACTTAGTCCTCATCTGCAGCCCAGCAAAGGAGAAAAACAACATTTGACCAAAACTTTGCAATCAAACTGCTGCCTTCACAGTACAGTTAAAAGGCGTTTAATCGCTCAACACGCCCCATATCATGCAAAAAGAGTTTTTGTCTTGGCAACACAGGAGGATAATACATCAGTGTGGCTCTGGGCTTTTCAAAGCTGAAGTCAAAGGACAGAAAGGTAAGAAGCTGCGGTTGAGCTTAAGGTGCTCACCTTATTTGGGAGAATCAACCCATCTGTAGCAAGAGACACTAACAAACGACTTTCACATCCTCACACATCTTTGAGCAAAAAGCCCGGAACTTCTTTCTGCCCCCTTCCGCTATATGCACACGTGTCAAACATTGCACAGCCATGCCGCTCGCTGGGCCACCAAACATTTTTAGGATCGGTCAATCCGGGGGTTCAGACTGAGCGCGAAGTGAGGGAGGGCAATGTGGAGGAGGAGGAGGGGGGCGTTCATGTCTTTAAAGCAAGCCTTAATGCACAAGGTACTAATCCGACAACCTTGATGTGAGAGGGGAACCAGGAGAGCGTCAGGATCGCCACAAACTCTTCCACTGAAACCAGGAAGACAAAGGCAAAAAGGAGGGAGTAGCCTCTGACCTTTGTACTGCCTGGCATGGGGGCTCATCGCTTTAGAGGACGGCTCTGCCTGGCCAGCCCTGGACGGGCCTGCTGCCACAGCTGGAGGGATTTGGCTGGGCACCTGTTCAAGAGGAAAAAGAAGAAAAAAAAAATAGCATTCAGCACAAAAAAAGGTGTTAACCAGACAGAGGGGGGGAGGGGGGCAGCACTGGGGATGAGATGTTTACTGCAGGTACAGATCAGTAAAAAGTTACACTTCATAGCTCCCCTATGGTTTCAGTTTTGTTCAATATGACAGCAGAGAAAACAGCATTATGTAGCACGGGATATTGTAGCGCTGCCCCTCTCCAACCCGTTGCTGAGCTGTTCTGGTCAGCTGGCTTAAAGCGGGCTAATTCGCTCCGACCTTGTTAATCAGAAAGACAACTTCAGAACTTTTGAAATAATTTTCCTAAATGAGTACGAGAATCAGACTTTTTCAAATAAAAATGTGTGCGTCGGTGTCTTCAGCTAAAAGCTGCAGGAAAATCCAGAGAAGTTAGAGAGCTATAGTTTCTCTTTGTTTTTCATGAGCCAGAAAAGCAGAGCACAGAGCGCCGTCCATAAAGCTCAGATTTGGTTCTCTTTCTGTGTTGATGTTAATCCTGGTAGGATGCTAACGTTAGCAAAGCCTTGCTATCACTACGCCCATCTATTCTCTACGAAAAGGCCGATTCCGACAATCAGAAACTGACCTCCAGGCAGACAGTAAGTGCTGCTGCTTGTATAACTTTTAACCTCTTGTGTTAAAGTGCATAAAACGGTGATAAACAAACAATGGCTAAACAAAACTATGCTGCCAAAAATACACATAAATGAACACGCACACAGACGGACCAAATTCATTAAAAACTTCTATAAAGAGGTCTGAATGAGCTCTATTTAAATGTTTCTTCTCATAAAAACAATAAAACATGAATTTAAAGACAATTTCAAAAGGATTCTGCAAGGCGATTGAGTCCTATTTATTTGTGTAACAAAATAAACAAAGGAATAATGTTTTAGGTAAGGATAGCATGGCAGTAATCCTCAATATACTACATTATTTCAAAACAAATGCTACTTCCAAGCATTTGATTGTTTATATTTCTGTGTTTCTATTTTAAACCTACAAAAACAAAAATTTAGATGAAGAAGAAAAAAAATTAATATTTCATACGCTGACAAAAATGAAGGATTTCTTTTGTTAGAAAAAACCTAAGTATGTATGCTGAGGAGAGTTTGAAAGCAGCAGAAATTGAGCGATCAGAAGAGAAGGAGGGACTCAACAGAAACCTAAAGCCTGTTTCAAAGGAGAGCTGAAGGGAGCAGAGAGGTTAGGTGCTACGGCGTTACAGGGAGAGCGTAGGGCGGGGGACGACACAGATCACATCCACTGCAGCTATGTTTACCGCTGATTCGGCCTTCGGCTCTCTGCGGTGAGCAGCTTTGTGCTCCCCCTGAGCGCCCTCCAGCCACCACTCAGAGCTCATCTGCTCCACCACCACCTCCCCTTGGCTGTAAGCCACCGGCTCTTCGTTGTCCGTGCCGTACTCCACGTCGATCTCCATCCTACGACCAATGGGGGACTTCAGAGTACGTACCGTTTTGCTAACTGGGTAGGGTCTTGGCGGGGTAGGGCCATGGTCGGGGTTTTCCATGGCGGCGGCGGCAGCCATCTGGCTCCTGAGCATGGCCTCCCTTCTAAGGCGGTCCCCTAGCCCTTTGAGCAGCGCTGTCTCTTTGATAGAGGGGGTACGTTTGGGTGGACAGTGGGCTGAGACTTGCCTGCCGCTGGAACTCTCATACAAACTCGCGCTTTCATCTTCAGGATAATTGACGGTGTCCACAGTGTCGACGTAGTGCACCCTGTGCTGCATCTTCGGTTTAACCTGCGGCGTTTCCTGCCTGACAGAGGGCTCTTTGGTTGGGGGTTTGGGATCTCTGTTGAAGTGGTGGTGGTGAGAGGGGCGGTGCGAGTGATGCAGGGGAGCATGATGGAGGTGCTCAGAATCTCTGGGATGAATGGACCCGGGTCTAGGCTTGCTGCGGTGGAGTAAAAGCTCTTCCTGACTGCTGTCCTCCTCCTCCGTCACCTCGGCGATGCTGAACAGCTGTTTACACTGTGGCACCTGAGGAGGCAACTTAAGGATCCTCTCCAGAACGTCTTCATCGCTGTCTGGTGTCTCCAGTCTGCGTGACTGCAGAGTGTTTCACGGAATCAGAAGCGGAGCGATAAAGGTTTCGGTTTAAACAGTCGACGTTATCCGAGGCACAAACATACGTTCAGTCATGCAAGGAAAAAAAAGAGAAAAAAGAGAGGAAACACAAAACAACAAAAATGATTAAAAAATAAGAAAAATGAAACAGAAATTAGAAGTGAACCTCACTAAAAGAAGCAGAAGCTGCAGAGACCATGCAGACAGAGGCAGGCATTCATTTATTTACCCTGTTGGCTCCTACAGTGTACCCCCTGGACTGAGATTCTCCAGAGTACAGGTCCTCCTCCTCTTCCTCCAGGATATCTGACAGATCAGAGCGGCTGTTGTTGGCATGGTAGTCACTGTGAGGCTCCACCAGCCCTCTGCTATAACTCTGAAGGCAAACAGCAGCACCTCAGTTAATCAAATGAAAGTCATCTACTGTATATTTACTGCCTCATAACGGTAGGACTCCTTCACCTCTAATGATCCCAACAAAGACAAAGATGAGTTCACCCGAATCAGCTTTTATTTGTTGCATATTTTTTGTAGGCTTGGTCCTTTTAAACTTATAGGTCATAGCTATAAAGTATTACCGTATTTTCGTGACTATAAGGCGCATATAAACGTCTTTTTTCCCCCTCAAAATGTGCGGTGCGCCCTATAGAGCGGTGCGCCCTATGTGTGTTGTTACTGCGGACGTTTGAGACCACCATGAAAACGTTAAAGGGGGAAGTGTAGGCGTGGATTTTGTATAAAAGAACAGGTAGGTGCTTTATGCAGAACTCCTCATCTCCTCATTGAGGAGATGATGAAAGAGTGGCTGAAGGAGGTGAATGTAAGGAGACCAGGTGGTTTTTTCCACGCATCACCATCACTGTTAATCTGTGACTCATGCGTGCCCATCTCACAGCCGATGTGAAAAACATGGTGAAACAAATGAACGCTGTGCTTGCTGTTATTCCGGGAGATCTGAAAAAGGAACTTCAACCGCTCGCCATCGGTGCGAACCGGCCGTTCAAAGTAATGCTACGTTCACACCGGACGCAGCAAGAGCAGCAAAATCACGTCTGCTGCTTCATTTTTGCTGCTTGTACCAGTTAGTTCTGACGTGCGGCTGAAGCTGCTTTGCTGCTCTGGCTGTGCGGTAAAAAAGTGTGTCTGATGCGCGTTGGGCGGAGCTACTCTATCCTTTCTTTGCCCTGCAGCTATATTTGCTGTGATCAGTGGGATCATGTACCGGTATATAAAACCCACGCCCTATAACCCGCTGCGCCTTATGTGTGTGTTAAATACAGTAATGGCACACATAACTGAGACTGCGCCTTTTAGTACGGTGCGCCGTATGGTCGTGAAAATACGGTATGTGTTCGGAAAGTTATAGATTCGAGGAATGTTTAGAGTGGAGGAGAATAAATGCGTCAAATATTTGTAGATGAAAATGTAATTTATAATTTTGATGGAATTAAAATATACAAATATTTACTTCTGGTTAGTATTTTAGTATCAAAGGATTCTACAGTATACCGATAGGAATAGAAGGTTCATATGGGAATCAGGAATTGGAGAAAATAAAATGGCTTCTTCAACATTAGAGGTTGCTGTTTTTGATTTGAAAAGTGTGGAGTTAGGAAGCTGAGATGGAGGCATTTCTTGCAAAAAAAAAGAAAGGTTTGAATTTATTTAACGTCCTCAGACGGAGAGTTAGAGCTCTGACTGAGGCAACCTCAGTACATACATTCATTCTCAAACTTGAACAAAAGGAGGAAAAACAACTTTTTTTCATAAAGGCCATTCCCTGCTAGGTTAATATATCTTTCACTGGCCAGATGGATCTTCTAAAAACAACAGTCTTCCACTTCATGCCATGAAGGAAGCTGTGTAACTCATTCTTTATCTCTCATGACCTTCGTTTGGAGCAGGTGAGGCTAAAAACAGACATACCTCAACATTTTTTACTCCACAACAGGTAAGTAAAATGTTTGTTAATGTGAAAACTAGTTAGCGGACATGGCAACTGGTAGAGACGGAGAGAGGATGAGTACGCCACTTACTGGCTGGGAGGAGTTCACCTGCAACTCCCACCTTTAAAAGCTGCCACTGATGAAATTGATAAAGGGATTATGAGGTTTTGACAGCATCAGGTTGTTATTAAGACTCAAAGTCCTCCTCTTAACAAACCACATACTTAGGCTGGGTAAATAATTGCATTTTCAATATAATTGCAATTTTAAAAAACGCAATTTTCAATCGCAGAGGTGCTGATTTTTAATCACACTATAATTAACATGAGTAAGACACAAAATTTCTCCCTACAGCACTTCAGATGGAGGAAAAATGCTTGAAGTGGGTTAATCCCCACTCAAAAAGGTAGAGATCCATGTATGCAAGTAGAATTTTTTTTTTTTTACGGCACTAGTGGCTCGTTTCTTGGACAGTAGGCTGACAGGAGAAGGGGGGTGACATGCAGCAAAGCCTTTGTTTTTTTTTCTGAAAGCTTGGCTGCAAAGGAAAATCAAAAAAAAATCACAATGACAAGTTTGGTTAGAAAACATTGCGATTCGGTGTGCTGCTTTGGTGAAGCAATGGTTAGCGTGCACTAGAGACTGACATTTTTTTCGGGAATCCCACGGGTCACGGATTCCCGTGGGATTCCCGTGGGATGGGAGTCAGTATCAGTAACGATCACGTGATTGGGACGGTACAGGATTAAACATTAACGGCAGCAGACGGGAGCGGGACCAAACCAATAGTAACTAAAAGAAACTAGGCTCGATGCCAAAAAATAAAATAAAATAGAAAGAAAAAAAATCCAGTACTGGCGCCTCCATTTTGTAGTTTTTTTCCTTGAAGCCTACACTATAATGCGAGTCAAAAAAAACTACATGACCCAAAAACCAACAGTGCTTCCGCTCTGAGTTTTTCATCCACGCTCAAAAACAAGAATGGGAGTGGTGCAGGAGCGGGAGACTGAATGGGAGTGGGAGTAATTTCACCAGGAGTGGGATGGGACAGGATTTAGATTTCTACTCTGGCCCGGGATTGGGACGGGACACAATTTTTTTCTGTGGGAGTGGGACGGGACAGGAGTGAAAATCCACTCCTGTGTCAGTCTCTAGCGTGCACGACCCGTCTACAGAGGCTGTGGCCGACCTGGGTTCCAATTCGCCTGTGGTTCTTTACTGCATGTCTCTCTCCCTCTCTTTTACCCCCTTTACCATCAACCTACTTTGCAATAATGAGCCACTAGTGCTAAAACAAAAAAGCAATAAAAAAATAATCCCTATTTAGACTTTTGGCAAAATCATTCAGTCTACCACATATGGCAGGATCACCTCCTGATAATCATTGGAAAATCGACACGCCGGCGTACCTGCTGCCTGCTGCAGTACGATGGTTCTTGGTCTTGCCTCAGGAACTCCTCAATGGACACCAGGCGAGTGTTCTCCATTTCCTCTTCCACCTCCGACTCCAGCGGTGAGGTGCTGGGTGGTCGCAGGACGTTGGTGCTCTGTGGGTTCAGGAGGTCGACGATCGGGGCTTTAGGTGGACTCGGGACGCGCTCAGGGGTCCCGAGCTTGGCACAGGGGTCCTCGATGAACTCTGTGATGGATGGGAAAGGACGTATTGTTCCGGGGCTGTCCGTGTCTCTGCGTAGATCCAACACCGGCGCTGGTGCCGCATCTGGAGGAGGTGTCGCCAGTGCTGGAGATGGCTGAGGAGCTGTGTTGATGGGGCAGGCCACATTCACCTACAGAGATAAATCATCACAACATCAAGACTTCATTCAGTCAAATAGAGTTTTATTCCCCTTCCAGCTACTAAAAGATGTCAGGCTGAGCATTACCACTGGAGGACTGGGGGGGGCCACTGGTAATGTGGCCTCGCAGACAGTCAAGGCAGCAGCAGAGTAGGGGTCGGCCCAGGCCTTCACATAGGAGGCAGATGCCAGGTGATCTTGGGCGTGGTGAGCCTGAGGCAGGTTGGCAGCAGCCTCCGCTGCAGGACCCGGCCTGTGTGGGCCTGATGGCAGAGAGCTGGGCGGCACAGAGACTTTGGCAGCAGGGTTTCCATAGAAGGATGGAGGGGGCAGGGTATTGCGAGCTACAGAGCTGCAGGGGAGGTGTGGCACAACTGGGGCGGTTGGAGTAGGGCCTGCCATGACAGCAGCCAGCCTGGAGGGCACGTTTACTGGAAAAGAGTCGCAGGATTCCCCATGAGCAGACATGGTGCGGACAGTGAGCTCCTGAGCTGCCTGGAGGGACTGGATCTGAGAGGGGCCCAGCAGAGCGCTTCCAGCTGTAGGGGAAGCCACCTCCAAGACCTTCCATAGCACAACAACACAAACACATTATAGAAGCCTTCACTTATACCAAGAAAAACACATCAACATGTGTTCTGATGATTATAAATCCCTCTTAAAATGTGAGCTTGCCTTCTTCCTGTCCGCGTATATAGTGTATCCGGTGACACGGACTCCGTTAGAGGTGCCAGCAGCATCTATAGTGACCGGCAGCCAGCTGATTAACGCGATCCCAGGAGAGGGGCCGGGCTCCAGCTGTACGTCCAGCGGGGCATCAGGGGGACCTGCAGCCATTAAAAACATTACACCACAGGAAGCAGCCAATCTATATGCAGGTTGCATTTCTATACTAACACAGGACAACACAGCAGGAGTAGGACTCTAGGAAGCTGCCAACTATCTACCTAAATGCATGAGAAGGATCCAGATACCTGAACTCCCAGAGTGTGGGCTGGAAACTGAAGCAAATGTGAAATAATTATTTTAAGAAACTGGTTTTATAATTTAGGGCCATACAGATACAAATCACTCTGACATCAGTTTGTTCCAATATTGTTGCAGCAAAGAAGATATTTTATAAATCTAAATGAGAAAAACAATACATGAAGCTTTAAAAAACATTTCAATCAAATGTTCTCAGATCTTTTTTTTCCTCATTTTCTTTCAAACAAATGTCTCCCTTTTTTATTTTTTCTCAAATGTTACCTTTCAGATTTTCTTTTTAACGGATTTTATATGTACAGTAGAATGTTTGATTTCTGTTTTGAGTTCCACAAATTGCAGGCCTTTTTTTTTTAATTGCGTTCTGCAGATCACATTCTCTTCATCTCTCGGGGATTTTCTCTAGAGCGAGGATGCATTTCTGTTGGTCAACAATGACATCAGCAAACAAACACTCTCATTGGTTAATGTGTGTCATGAGCGAGCAGTTTTGGTTGAATTGATCTGAGACTTTAAAAACAATTCAATTCAAAAACTAAATTTGACAAACAGAATTTGGAAAAGCAAATATATAAATATAAAATCTATTTTTTTTTATGGAGGACCAGGAGAGTCACTGAAAAAGAAATGCAACCTGTTTAAATATAAATCTCACATTATACAATTAGAAGTCCAATTTAAAAGTGTTTTGTAATTTCCAATTTGAAATGAAATTATTCAAGTAATTGTAAATTGCATTTATTAATCCATTACAAAATGCTGCAACTTGAAAAAGTCTTTTCAAATCCCATTTCTAAATGGAGATTTACCAATCATCATTCATAAATACCTTTCCTCATCAAACGGTTCCATTTTTTATTTTTCACCTTGCATTTTCAAATCATTCTTACAGCTGTCTCTTTTTACTTTATCCATTCCATTAAGTATTTCTATAAACCTTCTTCTGCTCTGTAAACACACTGAAAACCAAGTTCAGTTAATAGCCTAATTTACACTACCCTTGGAAAACTGATCCATGCTGAGACCGGTCCGAGCTCGGATCAGTTAACCAGGCCGAGCTCGGTTCTGACGACCGTTTACACATCACACTATCTCGGTTCCTCGACTCCTCGTGACGATCTGCGGTATTACTGCCAGTATTGAAGGAGGAAATCAAGCATTTGGTGGCGGTAATGCACCAAAAGTTGTTTGCCAACCGCCATAAAACACAACAAGAAGAAGACGAAGAAGGAGGCAATCAAGCAAATCAAAATGGCGGCGCCCATCACATTCAGTAAGTTATGCTTGATTATTATTGCTGTACTTCGGTGTTATCATTTAAAATGCCATTATTTAAAATGTTGCGTGGATTATGATTGTTGTTTATAGTTGAAGAAGAAGTTGTTCTTCTTCTATTTCTGGAAGGGCATTACCGCCAACTACTGGAATGGAGTGTGAATCGCGATGTGCAGCCAGATGGAGATGACGTGTTCTGCTCATGCGCTCTTGTTATCAGAGAACCGAGTCAGGGAAAGACCGAGCCGAGCCCACCGCTGGAACTGGTCTGCAGTTATCTCGGTTCGGTTGTGTCTAGCTCGGTTCAGTTCAGTTTGCTTTCCATTTACACACGATAAGTTCTCAGTTACTGAGCTCGGACCGGTCTCAGCACGGTTTTTCAAGGGTATAAATAAGGATGATAGGGAAACATATTTCTAATCAGGTTCTAATCAGTTGTTGTTTCTACATCCCCATTTGGAAAGAGTTCAAACACATTTTGCAGTATTTAATAACGGATTAAAGCATTTAATTTACATTTTTTCTTTAATAACTTAATTTAAGCTGTTAAAACCAGACTATTAACCTTATGATTGAAGCATTCAGTTAGAAACTGCTTTTTCTCTCTCCTGGTCCTCCATTTCTGAATTATGTAATTACTTCAGAGTGGGGTTAGTTCGTCCAAAAAAAGAAAAAAAAAAAAAGGACCCAAAAAGCAGAATAAATTCTTCACCTGGATCAAACGTTGGATAGACCAGCTCTGCATATTAAATCAAATGATTAGTGGTGGAAAAAAAACAGAAAATGTTTGAAGTCCTGACCTGCCATTAGTGTGCTGAAAGTAATGGTGGCGCTCCTGTGTTCCCGCCGCTCCACAGGCAGCTCCCAGGGCGTCCGGTGCGGCCGCGCCTCCACTTTGACTGCGTACTGCAGGCTGGGCTGGAGGTTGTTGAGGCACAGCGAGTAGCAGCCGGCCTTCACCAGCTCGCACTCCTCGTCGTTCAAGGACACAATGTGCACGTAGTTACTGTTGCTGGGCAGCCAGGTCAGGCTGGCAGATGTGGCGGTAACTCTGTCCACGCGCAGCTGCGTCGGCGCCACGCTGACGTCCCGGCCGACCAGCATGCTGCAGCGGAGCTGGTCCGACAGGCCTTTCTCCGTGAGGCTTTGGACCGACACCCGGTAGGCTTTGAGGTTAATGTCCAGCCGCTCCAGCACCGCTTTGGTCTGGGCGCCGAATGGCACATTCAGACGCAGCTCCTGGTCTACGTACACATTGTAGCTCCACACGTTTCCCCACCCGGCCGGCACCAATGGCGGATCCCAGCCAATGATGATGCTCTTGGCGAGCTGCTTGATGAGGGTAAGTTTGCGTGGGTAAGGCACAACGTCCACTCCTACCTCCTCCAAATCCAAGTCCAGGCCGTTGGTGAGGGGGGCGGGGACAGACAAGGCCGACGCTGAATCTGAGAGGGTCGAGGCGGGGCCGGAGGCTGCCGGGGCCTCCGTCCTCTCCAAGGTGCTGACGCCCACCTGGAGGTGACGCTGGTGGCTGGCACTGTGCAAGCTGCTGTCTAGCAGGGAGTTGTGGGACACGTCCCCAGTCTCAGGGTGCTGAGCGCTCATTACGTCGTCGTCTGACACACGCTCCACAAAGTTGGAGGGAACCAGCCCTCTCCGCCCATCGATCAGCTCACCTGGGCACATCAAAATATTAAACATCAAGTAGAAATAGCAGGAACATTAGGCGGCTGAAACAGGTAAAGATCATAGTTACCTTCATAGAAGCCGTCATCATCCATGTCTCCGTAAACATAGATGTATTCCCCAGCAGTCAGCGGTAGCTCGACCTCAGGGTTGTCGTTTGGACCATCATATGGATTATAACTGTTCCAGGTGAAAAGAGCTCAGTGCTCAAAATGAATCCCTTCAAGCTATTTATATTCAAATAAACTGGGTTTAATTCAACAATTACCTGTATCTGGCAATAAACACCTGAAGCTTCGCCGCTCCCCGGCTGGCCGTGTACGGTGCCGGGGCCACATCGACGTCCAGGTCCTCCACTTCACTGGCAGTGTCCACCTGAGGTGGCAGGGATCCAACAAATCAGTTTTAACATGAGAAAAAGCAAATAAGGAAAAAAAAGCCATCCTTCCAGCATCTTATCATACTGCTAAGTCCTCCCCAGCAGGAGGTGGAGGGGTGGTTAATGACCTTTAAGTGGTCCTGCAGGTGGCGAAGAAACCCCTACCAAAAGTACCTCACAGTAGCATGTAGCCACCTTAGCAGGCCTATGGCGGCCATGGAGAGAGAATTCCTCCACCCCTCCAAAGAAGCACCAAAGGTAAACCTCCTCATCACCCTTCATCTGCTTATCCGTATAAATCGTGAAAAGCTGTTGCTGTTTAGAGGATTCACCCAAGAATTCATTTTTCCGAAATTAGAAGTAACTTGTTGAAAAGTTTCAGAGGCAGGTTCTATCTTATATCAGAGATCTGATCATTCCTTATGGTCCTAACAGAGCTCTTCAATCTCAATATGCAGGTTTTCTAGTTGTTCCTAGAATTTCTAAAAGTAGAAAGGGAGGCACATCCTTTAGTTGTCAAGCTCCAACTACCGGTTTTAGTCTGTGAGGCAGACATTCTGTCTGCTTTCCAAACTAGAGTTAAACTTTTCTTTATGATGAAGCTTATAGATGGAGTGACTCAGGTTATCCTGAGCTATATTTATTGTTATGCTGCTATATGTTTAGACTGCTGGAGGACATAGGGACCACTTTTTATTATTCTGCTTCATTCTATCTCTATTCTCCCATTCTGCAGTATTGGTTAGTTCAACCTCTAATTTTATGCTCTCTCTGCTTTTTCTAATCATAGTAGCTTCATCTGGTTTGTTCCTGTTTGTCTTTGACACCATCGTTGACAGAAATATCCACCGAGCTGCTGCCATCAACACCACCAGTTGTAGATGATGGTGCTGGGCCTGCTTTTCAGTGCTTAGTCTTCTTTCTCTCCTATACATAGCTATGTGCTCAACTTTTACTGTGACTGACTGGATGTGCTTCATGTTATTCCTTTGACATGAAAACTGGCTCTGAGCTTGTCAGTGTGAATATTTATTTCCTAGAGAGAGCCATTTGTGAAACTAGCTTGAGGGGAAACATGCATTTCAATCCGATGGTTCTGAAGTACAGGATTTGGTTTTCTGTCATTTCTACAGGATTGGAAGAAGTTACAGGTCGATATTTAACAGCTTGTAGACATTAGGTTGAGGGTTGAAAAACCTAAAATAGGTAGAATATTGAATGCTTCACAAGTGTCAGTTCTGGCATATGAAGTAAATCACTTTCATGCACTTTTCACTGAAGGATCACTAGCGTGTTTACATTAAGCCTGATAGGGAGAAGGCGGTCATTGTTTTTGCACAAGTCTTAGCAGATTATGGAAACATTGTGATATAATCCATAGGTGAAGATTCCTGTAAGGTGGCTAGGGGGTTGAGGTGATGCAAGGAGAAACAGGGACAGTTAATTACATAAAAAATGTGACATAAATAATGGAGAAAAAAAACCCTGCCATGCTTAGAAAAATTAAGAATTACCTCGTTTTATCATAAAGTTTGCATAAAGACCAGATAAACAGAGACATATATATATTTTTCAGTTTGTTTTATGTTGTTAAGTATTTTGAAAATCTAAACCTTCAGGACTTAACAGGGTAAGGGTATTGTACCGGCACAACTTTTTATTTTCTAAAGCTTTGATTACTGACCTCATATTGATACTGACCCAATATGATATCAGCAGGAATCATTTATACATTTATTACTTATTTTGCATTGCAGCATGTATGTGCAAGATGCACACATTGTTTGCATTAAAATCAATAAAAATTAACAAAGCTTGGAACATTTAGCAAGTTCAGTAGAGCTGGTTATTTTTGAAAAGGACAATGATATATACTAGCCGCCAGGTAGAGATAAAACTGTTACTCTGCTGAATCACACCACTCCATTTCCTATAAGACATCTGCATATTCAGGTGTACATATATACAGGTTATCTAGATAAAGTGTGGCAAAAAAACAGCATGGTGGTTTAGAGGTGCCTGCAAAGGAAACCACCGCCGTTGACTGTATGTGATATTGTGCAGAGTGAGTTACAGGATGTGAAGCAATGACGATAAACAGGACGAAAACATAAAATGAGTTTATTTTCGAGGTTAACAAATTAATCTTTTCAGGACTAATTAAAGCCTGAACAGACTCGGCCTATACCACTATTATTTATACTTACACTGCAAAACGTTATCAAAAAAAAGAATACAAATTTCTTAACTGAAGTGTATTTACACTTCATTTCAGTGGGTAATTGGATAAGTATTTTGGCCCTTAGAATAATACAATTATGTGCACTGCACTTAGATACAATAATGGATTTTTTATCTCATTTTAAAAGCAAAAATTGTATTTCATTGGAATATAATACTACCGTACTTATATCAAATCAAATAGACTTTAGGATTTTCTTATTTTTAATTTACCTTTTGCAGAGTAAAGCGAAGGCAATTTTCTTAATATGTCACATTTGCATGAAAAGACAAGTCTAAGTGCTGGACGTTAGAAGAAACAGGGCTTTAGTTTGTAACATATAAATAAAGAGATTTAAAATGTAAAATAAGATGATAATATATATACATATTAAAAAAAGAAGTTGGACAAAAATTGAATTAATAATTTTTACATAGCTCATTAAATTCCATTGATGGATGATGGAAGCCCATGACACCACATCTGCCGAAACAGCACGAGAACTTGTAACCCGAATCATTCATGGAAAATAAGCCACAGGCTTATAGATGCATCTGCCCTAAACTACTGAGGTGTCAGTCTGCTCATCAAACAATGTTTTAGTCATAAGGCTTCAAAATAAAAAGGCTATTTTAAGTGAATTTTTTCAGTAAAAACTCACTAAATGTCCCTGTAGTCTTTTTTTATGCAGGTGACGGTTTGAGCACTTTTACAGTTTTCTGTTTATTCCAGATTAGTGTAGCATAAGAACTAAAGCTGCTTCTGCATGTTTGGCTTGGTTCTGGATGGTTGATCTACTGACAACAAGTCAGTATTTATTTTGGAGCTAAGCCATTCAGTGATTTACAGACTAAAAGAAGTGTTTTAAAGTCTATTCTATAAGAAACGGGGAGTCAATGCAAGGAGTTTAGAACTGGGCTGATGTGGTCACCTTCCTCGGTTTTAGTGAGGATGATAGCAGCATCATTCTGGATCAGCTGCAGCTGTTTGATCCACTTTTTAAACCGACCTGGGAAAACACCACTACTATAGATTAAGGTATGAATCAGTCCTGCTTAGACATCAGTCCTTTAACCTAGGAGAAGTTCTTCCGGTGATTGAAGGCTGACTTTGTTCCTGTCTTTATGAGCCTCCGAATATTCAGGTCTGAGTCCATAACTACACCCATATTTAGAGCCTGATAGGTGGTTTCTTGCTGCATTAACTGAAGCTTTGTGCTAACTTATAAACTCTGCATTTAGTCCAAAACTATTACTTCAGTTTTCTTTTTATTTATCAGAAGAAAAAATTGGCACATCCACGCAGAGATTTCTTCTATGCGTTTACCCAGAGCTTTAATGGGTTCACATTCACCTGGTGAGTGCGGAATATAAAGCTGTGATAGCTTATTTTGTTTATAAAAACCTGATTTAGGGAGAGTATGTAGATAGTGAATACGCCCTAATATAAACCCTTTAGACCTGATTTAGCATATTAACATTTATAAAATGTATTTTTACAAGTATAAAAAACTACAGCAAATTGTCTTTGACATTAAAGTGGAGAAAATATAAACTTTGGTTCAAAATAAAGTTGAAGAAATGAGTTAAAGCTCTAGGATGAACAAATACTCCCATCTTAAATCAGTCACTAATCAAACTGATGTCTCAATATAAATAAACATAATAAGAGAAGCTGTATTCATAGTTCTCTGGGGAGATAATCATTCCCAGCTACTACTATATAACCTTCATAATCCACAGTGCAGAGTGGATTATCTCACTAAATATGAGCTTTGGGGGCTGAAGGGTGAGTAGATAAACGGACCAACGACATGCAGGAACAGAGGCAGACTCCTTAGATCCGCATTCAGGCTGCAGACCCTAAATATTCATCTTATGTTTGTGTGCAGAAGAAGCCAGGGTTCAGTGCTTGTATCCAATGATAGGCAGGTTTAAGGAGTTTTTTTTCTAATCCAATAAATCCATGGAAAACAACATGACTGTGCAGAAATAAAGACAGAGGAAGATCTGCAGCCTTGATATAAATATATTCGAATGAAAGCAAATGTTACAGGTCCATTTCATTTAGCTTTCTAATTTCTAATTCAAAAAGAGTTTTAAGTTGTGCATTTTACAGTGTATTTAAGGCGGTAGTGTCTGACTTTTTATCTGCAAAAATGAAGTATTGGTTTCATAAATTCATATTCTGCAAGAGACTAATAGAAGTTTCGAATGAGTAATTAAATATAGATATATATAAGTGGCAGCACATCCAATTAAACACGGCATGTTACATCATATTAGTTGATTACAGTAGCTGAAAGAGGACAAACTTGCTAGGCTTCAGCGCTTTAACTGTATATAAAAGACGTGCTGTCAGAATAGACAGTGGACCGTTCTAGTAGCTGTTTTCTAATGAAATGGAGGAGCATGCATACTCTTTAAAGAGCTAGAGGGAAGAGAAACCAGTAGAATATCTTACTACTGAATTGTAACGAAACAGTTTAAAATTACCTACATTTACTAAAAATGCCCAAACCTGCCTGTGAAAAAGAATAAATTTTAGTTCTTGCAGTTTTCACCACAAACCTGAGAAACGCTTAATATTCAGTTTCAGCTGCTAAAAAGAGTAGCAGGAAATCCCCAACAGCCGGAACGGCTTTCACTCCCAGCACTGTGGGCCACTGCTATGCAGAGGGGACTGCCACAGACACAAAAGTTTAGTAGGATCACAATCCTAATAAGTCATTTTTTTCAACTCATCAATGCCAATAAAGCAAAGATGATCTCTTGATTGTAAAGAAAAGAACAAAGAACATAAAGAACCGGAGCATTGAGCATTCAGCTTCCAGAGCGTTTGACTTTGAAAAGCACAGGGGTCTAAGTTGAGGTGCCATTTTGAAAATGCACATGGTGTGACCGTTATAGAGCAGCAACATGCAGTTAGGTGCCTTGCCAGAGGGTAAATTTACATGGCAGAGTTTCATTCCCTCCAGGTTGTTGCACAGGTGGAATAAACAGTCATAGCTTAAACCCATCTAATAATCTGAACCAGTTGTATTTGTCATCAAATATCTTTTCTGGTCTTTTAGTTTCACACATCATGAGGAGTTAAAAGGTACCTCGTGTGTTGGGCTTGATTTGTGCGGGCTGAGGTGGGTGTCAGATTTGGGGGTGAGGTGCGCGGCTTCCGACTTGGAAGAAGAGCCTGACTTGCTGACGCTGATGCTGGGCAGCTCTCGGTGCTTGGTGACAGGTGAGCGCTCCACCCTAGAGAGTCCAGCAGCGTGCGGCGTGGACCCCCGGCGTAAAGCAGCAGCCACATCTAAGAGAGGGAGAGAACACTTGGTGAACCCGGTTGTCTCTGACCTGTCTGGATGGCATGCAGGCAGCTCAAAGATGGCTGATTAATACGGTGGAGGGTGAGAAAAAAAAAAAAAAAGATCCCGTGTCCATCTGTCTGAGGTCGTAGGTCATGCTACCTCATGTCGCCATGTATCACACCAGCAGCGTTAAGGGGCTTAACCGCCTCTAGGCTCAGACGTTTTAAAGATCGGGCAGCGATTCTGGCCGCCATGTGATGATGAGAAACAAGTACAAGCCCGGGTATATCTGAGTGGTAACCATGGCGATGCAGGGTGAGATGACAGATCAGAGCATGCCGGGTTTAGGTGACAGTGGTCAACACAGAGCATGATCCAGAGAGACGGAGGGCGTACCGAGGGGGTCGTCACCCTCCGGGCAGGAGAGAGGGTCACCTCCCTCGAGACTCCAGAAGGCTATTTCCCCCAGAGACACCATGTCCAGTGTGACACCAGAGCCGTCTAAAACACAGAGAGCGCAGCAGAAAGAGACAGACAGCTCCTCAGGAGATCTGCTGATTTCAGGCTGGAATTCATGTTAGAAAAACTTTTTTACAAACATCCCTTTAGATGCAAAAAAAAAAAACGTAAATGAAAAATAAAATAAAAATATCCAAAAACCTCAGGAAGCATTTGAATGAGTCTTTACCCTTAAAATACAACAAGAGTAAAAAAAAATAGAAATAAATAAAAATAACAAGAGGTTCTAATTTTCATTTTTTCTATGGTTTTGGCGTAATCCCTGCTCCTAGTATATAGTTCTTTAGCTAGGTTTATGACTGTATACTTCGATTAACTATTATTCAACTACTAAATTAGTTGAAAATGTTTTTCATAATCAATTAATCGTGTTTAATCAAAAAATTTTCAGCTCTAATCTTTACTACAGTTTAATAGTTTTTTTTATTTCTCTTGCAGTTCTTTTTTTTTAACAAACCCTTTATTTAGTTTGAGGTTTAGCCTTTAGACTTCTTCATATCTTTACTCTTAAGATAGGTGTCTGTGTTGTAAACTGTTTCTAAACAATAGGAAACAGGAAAGACACTGAGCCTGGAGGTTTTCTCCTGTTCAAAGGGAGCTTTTTCTCTCCACTGTCGCAACAAGCATGCTTGGTGTAAGGGATTGCTTTCGAGTCAATGCAATTAACTGGTTTTCCTTGGATAGTAAACTTTGAACCAATTTGACTGGATGATCTAGTTGAATTGTAAAGTGCCTTAAGATTACATGTGTTGTGAATTGGCGCTATAGAAATAAACGGAATAAAAAATGAAACTTAAAGTATACAAATCACAAAATAACTGCTTTTACATTGATTTAAACCTCAGGGCATTAAGAAACTTCCAGAAGAATGTTTTGTAAAGGTCTTCACACCATTTCATGCATTTTCAGAAACAAACTATAGTCTATATAATGCAACAGAGTAGTATCTTGGCATAAGGTGGCTGCTAAATGATGCAGAGCATTTTTAATACTTCTACTAATAAAAACATCTGGTTCATACATATCTGTTTTAGCCCTAAATAAAACCCTGAGCAACTAACTATCCTCATGCTCTGTTAATCAGTGAATAATTCAGTCTCTCTATGAATCCCGCTTAGCATTCACAAGAGAACTAATCATGTAGACAGAGGATTGCTGTGAAAAGATCAGAGGAAAGTAGTGGAAAAGGTTTGAAGCACAGCTTGGTTAGATCACAATAACTCCAACATCACATAACTGTCAACTGACTGCCTGAACTCTGGAGCAGGTGCAGAGATCCACAGTAAAGGAGGGAGACGTTGTGAGCAGGACAACTATATGCTTCTCAATGCAAAATTCAACGTAATGCATGATAAAACAATTAGCACTTCACATCTTTATTTCTATGACGAGGTATGGAGGTGGCATCATGATGTTGAGGGGTTGATTTCGTTCAGCAGGGATAGAGAGTTTAGTTGGAACTTCTGAGATAGAAAGAGATCCAGGATGATGCCCAGTTAGAGGCGGGAAAGCTGTTAGTAGGTCTGAGCCAACCTAAAGCTTCTGCAAAGCTACTTCAACTAATTTCATAAGCTAGTGCAACATGGTTCATAGAGGTGTTGGCTTAAATGGGCCTAAAAATAGCAGCAGATTCTTATTTGTAAAATATTTTTCTGACACTTTAAAATAATACTATACATTGATTTGGTCTATCAGATAAAATCCCCCAAAAATACATTGCGGCTTGCAAAGGTCGTATCAAAGACCTCGAGGAGGTGAATCGGTATAAATTCTTTTGAAATATTAAACAAACAAATCAGTTATCAATAATGATTAAAACCGCGCAAAGCCAGCTCCTCACCTCGTTCAGTAGTCAGGCCCACTCCGTTGGTCAGAACTGAGAGGCCCGGGTTGTTGAGGAGCGTAGAACTGGCCAGGTCCACTTTGGAGGCCTGCAGTCGGAACTTCTCCAGCTCCTGGGACAGCAGGCCAAACTGCTCACTCTGACTGCGACATTTCTCCTCCAGCTCTCGTACCTTTGACTTCATGCAACATGGAGACATTTAAGGAAAAGGCGTGAACAGGGAGTGAACGCAAATGTTTCAGCATCATTAGGTGGGGCCTTCATGTCATGATAGTAAATAAAACAAAAGGGAACATCAATTTAAATCTGTTGTTTTAAGGATCCAACACTACAAAAGTGACTGAAAGTACAACTCTGCATACATCACATTTTGTTACTCTGCATATCTCTTGTTCTTTAACACTTTCTGTCACTTCCAACAGCAAAACTGACTGTATTTTATTCTCTGTTTAACAGACCAACACAAAGTAAAGCACAACTGTAAAATGAAAGCTAAATGATACAAGGCTTAATTTGTATTTTTTGGGGAGGAAAAACAAAAACCCCTAAAGAAATATGGAGAGTGTCTGGATTCAGCTTTAAAATCTCCTCCTATTTCAGTTACAGCCTCTCATCCAAAAACAGAAATCTTAATCCAAGCTTTATTTTCATCACATCTTTATTTTTGTAAAGCACTTTATATGTTTGACTAAAACCTTCCTGGACTGGCAGAGGTCTCTGAAGAACACTGCTGCTGGGCTCCTGACCGGATCTTCATGTAGCTCCAATTTAAATGCGACTTGCCTGGCTTCCAGATTGTCATAGAATCCATTTTAAGATTTTGGTTTTGATTTGGCGAGCATTGCACGGACAGACACCAATTTATATCGCTGAACTTTTACATCAGGGCCTTAAGGCTGTGTGATGTAGACCTGCAGATTTAGCCTTGATAAGCCAAACTAAATGTGAGATTAAATGTGTATTTTAGTCTGGCCCTGATGAATCAGACAGTGGAAGATTGTTGATGAGAACAACCCGATGTTTTTCAAACCATGTCTGTTCCTATTGGCAAACGCTCTGAACAATGAGCGCAACTGAATGTGACGTAGTAAGCGCGACAGAAAGCTGGTCAAACAGCCTGTCGGTAAAACGGCAAAGACGTCCTTAAAAATGAAATAGTGTAGAGCCTCTTCCTGCTCACATTTTAACAAAAACCCCAGGTCTAACCCTTCCAAAACTGATTCCAAAGCTGAGTCAAACGAGAGCTGTTCAATAGTTGTTACCATCTTCCTTGTTGTGCTTTCTCCAGTGTCGCGCAGCTTTGTCGTCATGCCCTCTAAAACCCGCCCTCTTTGCATCCAGAAATTAAAAACACATCTCTGCGTTGTGATTGGCCCACTAGTTCTAGGGCCTGGATCATTGATCGAGGCTAGACCAAACGCAGGCAAAAATTATTTTGGCCGCTGGCGGGTGGGGATAGCTTACTAGGCTACTTCCGAATGTCTCCTATACAAAAAAAAAAAAAACTAATGCCTGTTTTTTTTTTTTTTTTTTCTGGGTCATTTAGAACGGCCTAGACTCTAGGATTAGTTTTGGGCTTTGACTAGGCCACGTTCCTGCTGTACGCACAGTTATCCTGCTGGAATCTGTTTATCCATCCATCTTCAAATCTAAACTAAACTCTACTCATAAAGCACTACCCCATAGCATGATGCTGCTACCACCATAGTTTTCACTTTTGGTATATTTTTTTTTTACTGAAATGTGGCCTAAACGGATCTCTGACCCGTTCCAATCTGAGCCGTTAACCTCTGCAGCTCTTTTAAAGCTATTTTATTAAGGGGCATCAAACTAAAGGGGTAGGAACCGACAAAGATGGCAAATAATTTTTAGGTAAATTAAAACATGGATCATTTTCTTTCACTTTATGATTATTGTCTACTTTGTGTTGATATATCAAACAGACGTATCGGATAAAATACAAGGAAGTTTATGATTTTAACAGGAAAAATAATCATTTTTAAAAAGCTATAGTATGAACACTTTATGAAGGTCCTGTGAATATCAGTGCTCTGCAGAAACCTTTAGTTTTTTCAATGTCCACTTTTTTTAGGTGAATTTTACTCAGTTTATTCAAACCGGACAGTTCTGGTCAGCAGATAAGCTAAGAAATAAAGAAGGTTTCTGCAGAACAGACACAAACACAGGTGAGAAACACCTTTAGAATCGTTGGGAAGTAGAAGTAGTAGAGGGCAATAGGAGGAGTGAGAGAGATATGGTAGAAAAGGGGAAATTCAGTCAGGAAACCTTTAAAAGATCAACATTTAACTCATTGCTTTTTTCTTCAACCCACATAAAATCAGTGAGCAGGGAGGTTGTTTGCTATAGCTTTGTAGGGGATGGGGGTGTTGAGGGGGATACACAGCTCAACTCCAGTTTCTATAAGTGGCTGATTTAACTTCCGGTTGTGGTGGGAGTTTTTAAACAGACTGGTCTGACAAAAGCTGCAGGCTGAAACTGTCTGAACAACATTTCCTGTCATCTCTCACCTACACAGTGGTTTAGCTACAGGACTGCCAGAAACACCTTCTAAAGCTTGAGGGAAAAACACAACCTGTGAGAAACAATAATCTGTTTTGTTGCCTACATGGAGCAAGATGAGCAAATATGATAAATGTGGTGAAATGTTCTCAGTTCAAACTGTGTCACAGATCTGTTTCTGGCCTGGGGTGATTGGCCTGATTTAAACAAGGCTTTAGTAAGCAGACACTGCAAATCAAGTCGCTAGAAGCACTAGAAACTACGAGGTCCATGTGTATCGTGGTGAGGGGATTAAACTAAAGCAGCCCAGCTAGGTTTTTTTAATTCAATGAGCCACATGGAGGTTAAGGAAGGGAAACGATTGATCCAAGGAGGGCAGAAAGTACCTGCATGCAGTCCAGTGTGCTCTGGTTAGCAGCAAGAAAGCAAAGGACAAACCAGAGGTTCATAAAAAACAAACACGTGCGTCAGACAAATAAAAAAAAAGGATTCTGGAAGGATAAAAATGTATTTTAGTCAGGCAGAAGAAGCAGAAGTTTGAGTCCAGGTCAGCAGCCAGAATCACTAGAATGTCTCTCGGCCCTCAGGAGCCAACATCTGCCTTTCTAATAAAAGCAAATGTTCTTGCTAATCTTCTTGAAAACATGTTTTTTCCAGCAGACTGGGGGGAAAGGCCTGCGCATCGAGTCTACGCTCTCTGCAGGACGGAGACTTTCTCCTGTGATGCTTTGAGTTTGAAATAAAGAGACAGAAATCGAGAGGAGCCAGGAAGGAGGAAGTGAGCCGTTTAACAAAAAAAAAAAAAACAGGAGCAAATATACTCTACCAGCTCCCTCCGCAGCACGAGCTCAGTCAATGCCTAAAATAAAACACATACTTCTTTAGGGAAACAAAAAAAGGAATCTCTAAACAAAATGCACCGCATGTACTGAAGCTTGATGCTGACGACAACTTAGCATCAAGTGTCACATGACGAAGCAAAGAGAACAAAAAGCTCTCAAAAGGATTTTTTTTTCTTGCTTCAAATTTAAAACCACTAGCCAATCAGACGGGGTGTTAAACTGCTGCTGTCTGGTTTGGGTTATTCTTATTTTGGAGCCCAGAGGCAGCATGAAAGTCAACAAGCAACAGAGAAAACAACTGTTCAAACCGTTCTCCTCTTTCGACATCAAAAGCAGCAGCTTCTCTGAAATGTTTTTAAAGCAAAAACCTGTTCTTTTTGCTTAATATGAGCCAGCTCTTATTTAATCATTTATATATCAGACTTTATTGCATCTAAGTGGAGGGTTTAGATAAAAAAAAAAACAACAGGGAGGTCTCTTATAAAACTGTAGGAACGTCTCTTTAATATAATTTTTCCTGCACATTCTGTTACAGTTCACCTCTTATAAGCACCTCAGGGGTTTTTAGTGAGAGTAGAAGTGCTGCATGATATTTAAAATGTTTATTTGGGTTCATAACGAGTGCAGGAAACTCACCTCCAGCATCTGAACCACTCCTTCATGTTCCCTCTTGGCAAATAACTGAGCCTAATAAGTAAAAAGACATAAATGTTGGTCAATAGTTAGTAGGGCAATTTGCAGCACAGAGAGCTACGCTGATGAAAAACTTTTATTGTGCCCTAAGGTTGCCTCCTGCTGGTCAAAACAGCCCGTTGTACCAGAACACAATGAGGGCCTGTTAATTATGCTGCTATGGAGACAAACTTTTGTTCCTGAGGTTCTCACCCGCTGCAACCTTTTGATCTCATCCTGCTTGAACTTAAGGATAGCCAGTGCCTGCTCATGCTCCAACTCCAGCTGCTGCCTTCGCTCGGCGACCTCTCGCATATGCTGTCATGGAAAAAAAACATGACAAGACACAAACCCAACCCCAAAATAAAATAAAAGAATGTTTGAATAAATGAGAAATATAATTGGTTTTGAAGCGAAGTTTGGCATGTGTAATGAAATACCTTTAGGACCTGCTCTAGGTTCTCCAGTTTGGCACGGAGTTTCTGGTTCTCTTCGAGAACTGAATTGTGTTGAGCGGTCACTTCAGAGAGATCTTCCCTCAGCTCCTCATTCTCAGCCCGATCCTGAGAGACAGAAACACGTCAACCGGCCGGTTCCCAATGAAACCGTTAGTAGCCAAAAAGAGTTGAGAGACACAGACCTGGTCGAGCAGCTGCGCCTTCCTCCTGAGGAGTTCTGCCTCCTCCTTTAGTTGCTCATGTTTGCCTCGCTCATCCTCAAGCTGGCTCTCCTGTTAGAAAAACAAGCCCAGCTTTCAGACTCACTGTTCCTTCCAATGCAACATTAACACCAGGTGACAAGAGGAGGAAACAAAGGTTCAACTTTCTCTTACTAAATCCAGACATCTCTTCTGTCGCTTCTTTACTTCATGCTCAAGGTTTTCACATTCTTTTCTCTTCCTGCAAAGCTCCCGCTCCTGGAAAGAATGAAGAAAACAGTTAACGTTAAGACTCGTTACGTTTAATAAAATTGTAAAAAATATATATTTATTATTTTCAGTTTTACCCGCTCAACAGTAAACCTAACTTGTAATATTTAATAGAAAAAAGTGCAGCGGTTTTGATTTCTATAGAAAACAGAGAAATACAGTTGTGCTACGTTCAGGCCGCACGCATCAGAAGCAACAAATACACGCGTGCTGCTTCATTTTTGATGCTTGTACAAGTTTTGTTCTGACACGCAGCTGAAGCATCTCTGCTGCTCTAGCTGAGTTGTCGAAAAGTTTGTCTGATGCCAGTTGGGCGGAGCTACCCTATTCTTTCTTTGGCTGTAACAATGGCAGCTATATTTGCTGTGATCAGTGGGTAATAAGTAGTTTTAATGTTTTTCTGTGAGAAAGTTCACCTGAAAACTTCATCTGTGCAGTCAGTTCATGAAGATTACGATCCTGCCTTCAAATATTAGCCTCTCTGCTGTTTTCCGCTACCGTTTACAGTGGATAGAAGGTGTTTTTCATGTACGTGATCAAAACAACAGGCCCCAAAATAATGTGGACATATTTTGCTGGCAGGTTTTGACATTTTAAATTATTTTAGGCGTTAATTAACTGTTTTATAGGAGTGATCATAGCGATCTGCATCAGCAGTACTGTGTCTGTCTTCCTGCCGGCTCCCAGATTAGCTTCTCTGATTGGTTGATGCAGCAGAAATCTAAATTTTCTGACTCCAGCAGCTGCTCCTTCTGAAGCAAATCCCACGCGTCAGATGCTCAGAAGCACATGAGGTACTGCTCCTGCTGCTCAGACGCGCTGCTCCTGCTTCTCAAAATGCAGCTTTTTCTGCACCTTGATGTGAGTCAACCATTGACTTTACATGTAAACTAGCTGTTTCTGCAGTGCAGTCTGAACGTTGACTAAGTCCTGGTAGATCCAAAACAGAGAGAGTCTTGCTGTTAATGAAGCAAAACAAAACAAAAGTCGAATGGCTTCAGGCTTATTGTTTTTTTCGTGTTTGTATTGTAACAAGCAAAAAGAGGATATGAAAACATCCCGCTTTTGCTTTATTTAGCCAAGATTAATAATTTGGTAGCTCCGAGTCTGCTACAGGATGATTTAGATTCTTTTTATCATTTAATTAAACTTAAATTGAAAAACCGGGATCCTTTTAAGCCTTGCATTCACTTTTTTAAAGGTCTCATGTAGGCCAAATTTATAACTTAACATTTCGTAGACATGTATCTGCCTCAGCTGCCTGGGATGACTAAACATATTTACTGTATTCATGAAATCTGGTGAAGGGCGTCGAAAAATCATTCTGAGCAATAAATGGCCCCAAGCTGCACTTTGGACATCAAGGGTATAGAGGGAACATAAATTAAACTAAAGAGTACCTTAAAAAAGTAACAGCTCTGTTATTTAATCACTTTAGAACCTCAAACATTAAATGTATATCATTGGATTATTATCTGTCAGACCAACAATCTGTACTTTGACTAGACCACTTGGACACGTGCTTATAATAACTTTAGCATTGGCTGTATGTTTGGAGTCATCCTTGCTCTATAAGGTGAACATCCTTCAGGTTGCTTCTCAGAAAATATATAAGTTCAATGCTCAGTTTGCGCTCTTGTTACATCCTCTTTGAATATATACGATACTCAACGGGATGTTAAAGCTGCGTTCATCAAAATAAAACTTGACAAAGTAAGTTAAAGGGACACAAAAACTTTTACTTTTGACATTCATAGAGTGACGTTCTCCTCTTTGGTGAACACAATACATTGACTTTACTTTCCGTGTTGACCTCTGACAAAACACTGCAGAGGTATTACAAAGCTTAGCATCCTCTAATTATTCTAAATGCAGCTTACATGCAGGAGAAGCAGAGGAGAAATCAGCTTATTTCAGCACGGCCACAGGGCCTGAATAAAGTATTAGCACACCCACTATGTGTGTGTTTGTGTGTGTGTGTTTGTGTGTGGGGTGGGAGCCACAGAGCGTGCTGGCTAATTGCTAACCACAAGCAGCTGACTGGAAGAGACAGGGGACTCTCAACAGCGATGACATGGCAAGACAATAAAGATAATTAAACTGCAATCTGTGGTCCGATTTGGTTGATTATGTATCAGTCGCAGTTATTGGGACAAGAGCGATTTCTTACCCTTGTCAGAGCCTGAATGCTCCTATTTATGTTCCACTTGTTGCTGGAACATACTGTGGTCCCCATCAAAGGGAAATAGAGGCTATTCTATTCAATCCAATTCTATCAGATCGGAGCTGTAAAAGCAATGAACATGCCAACATGGTGGGAACTGGTTTTATTAGATTAAAATAACAGAGAGGAGGTGGGTAAGAGGAGCCACTGGGTAAGTGGCTCCTCTCACTGGGTAAGTGCCCCCCCCCCCCCGTATATTCGAAACGGAAAATATTTGTTGTCATGTGAGCATAAATTCTGCAGACAGATTCCATTTTGCTGTCAATGCGAAATATAGAAGCATGTGGTAATGTGGTTAATATGTTGTCTTTACATAAAATGTTTTTTTTGCTTGTCACTGCTTTTTTTTGTTTTGTTTTTTTTACATTTTTATAGAGTTAGAATTCTGCCAAAATGGAACATATGTAATAATAGACTAATAGGAGCCATTTTATTTAACACTCTCGCCTCGATGCCTGTGATTCTGTTTTTGGATGTTCGTTTCAACTTTTGTTACTTTGATGATGGAACCAACACTGAAGGAAATCCCACCACTTCAGACAATAAATGTCTTTTCTTGTTTGTGGCTAGTAATGTTTACAAAGCCTCTCCAGAATTTGTAATAGGCAAATCTTCATTAAATAACAGTCAAAAAATGTTCTGGCAGCAGTAGCTATATGCTCTAGATTTATGATTAATGTTACATTTGGAACTTCATATGACCTAAACCAAAGTTAGCTCATATTGAGGATGGCAAAAGACACATATATAGAGATATGACATTTACAACATTTACAGCTAATGATAAGCATTTTGCATTTTTTGTCCATCATTGTGTTGATTAAGTTATCAGTTGATGACAAAGATGTCTATCGGACAGGCTGCTCAGTGCGCAGTGGGTAGCACTGCTACCTTGCAGCAAAAAGGTTCTGGGTTCATGGAGTTTGCATGTTCTCCCTGAGCATGCGTGGGTTCTCTCCGGGTACTCTGGCTTCCACAGTCCAAAAACCTGTCTGTTAGGTTAATTGGCGTCTCTAAATTCTCCTTAGGTGTGAGTGTGTGCATGAAAAGTTGATTGTCCAGTTTGTCTCTGTGTTGCCCTGCGATGGACTGGCGACCTGTCCAGCGTGTACCCCGCCTCTCACCCGTAGACAGATGGAGATAGACACCAGTATCCCTCGCTTGGGATAAGTGTGACGGAAAATGGATGGATGTCTGTTAGAATCAAGTCAGAATTAAACTATTGAAGAGATAAGTAATGACCTTAAGATGCTTTGCTAACATTATTAGCCACAGCCAGAAACAATATATTACTGTCTCAAGAGGTGGGAGTTCCTGAAAAGCAGCAAATAACAGACAGTAAACCATCTCTGGTAGTTTCTAAAATTTGTCACAAACATGTAGAAACAGGTCTGTTCAAGCCATGAGTGCAAAGAAGGAGGAATCAATCATGCATGTTACATATTGCATGATTGATTCATTGCATTGAATCTGCATATAAAGTGTTCAAACTGTTCATTGAGAGTAGTTTACATGAACAAAACTGCTCCTATGAGTATTTAAAATACATGTACCCTATTGGCACAATTCTTTATACATTTCTGCCATTTTGACTGTTGTATGCTTTACATGTTGAGATTGGCTTTAAATGCAAAGCTGTTTTTTTCCCCCCAAAGTGATGTGTGTTGAGTAAACTGAGGCAAATATCCGCCCGGTGGCGCCAGTGTACTGCAGCCCCGCTTCTGTCAGTGAGCCCCAGGGCAGCTGTGGCTACAATGTAGCTTGCCACCATCAGTGTGTGCGTGAATGGGTGAATGAATGTAGTGTAAAGCGCTTTGGTCAAGTCTCCTAACTTGAATAAAGGCGCTATATAAGTACATGCCGTTTACCATTTACCATGTCTTGGGTTATCGTTCTCTGATCTCTTTCCAGTCATTGAACACCACACACCTACGCTCTGAAAGGTGGAACTGATACCAGTTTCAATGAGGATGCTGATTCTCAGTGCAGATGGGTCAACATTTGTGCCAAAAAGTCCTTCTGAACTGAAAGGGAAGCACAGAGCTTATAAGAAGCCATTCATAAGAAATCAGTTTTTGATTTTTACAGAGACATTGCAGCAGTTTTTTTTGGTTGGCTTTCAAAGAGAGGGGAATAATTTTGGCAGATAATATGAAGGCTGAAAAGAGTGAAGTAAAGCTACTCTGTTTTTTGTGTTTCAGCTTTTTGGGGGAGCATGCTGGACTTAATAAGAACAATAATTGAATTTTATTAATCTCACACTGGAGAAATTGACCTCTTCATTTGACCAATCCCCTTGGGGAGCAGTTGGCTGCCATTGTGCGGTGCCCCGGGAGCAGTGTGGGGTTAAGGGTCTTGCTCAGGGAGCCCAGAGGGCAGGCTGTGGGGATCCAACCAGGTACTTGCAACCTTCTCAGTGCACAAGCGCACTGCTCTAACCACTAGGCCATCACTCCCCCAAGTTATGAGTTAGCTAACTTTTTTAAATTTTATATACACAGAGAGTGAAGTAGTTTAAAGTAATAGCAAAATACCAAGAAACTATCCAAAAACTATGACAGTTACAATAAATACGATCATTATCTTGTCTTTTCTTCTCAGTGGTGAACATAGGGATCATAAATTGATCCCAGACCTGACCAATCAGAACCTTTTGCACAGACGCCAAATATTCAATAGCATTATGATAGAGCACATGTACCAAGCTCCTGTCCTTTGGGCTGAATGTGGCCTGCCATGGGATTATTTGGCCTTTAAGAGTTTA